AAAAACTATTTATAGTCACATGTCCTGTTTGTTTTATTTTTTAAGTTCTTAGACTTTTTTTTTTTGTGCATTTTAATCAATTTTTTTCTGTGAAAAAGAATTAATTGGAAGAACAGATTAAAGATCTAAGTATTATTCAAAAATACAATAGATATAATTAAAAATTTAATGACAAATTAAAGACTTAAATTATTATATAAAAATAGATTTAGCTATTTATCTTGTTATAATTACATATTTTGAGGACTTGATCTGAATCCAACTAGTGATGCGACTTCTCTTTGAAATAGGATCAATCAACATATCTATTTTCTATCAAACCATCAGTCGCTCATGTCTGTTTCTATTGCACGAGGGTTACACAATATGCACCTCTGTCTTAAATAAGCCTGGTTACTTGGTTGCATTTGACATTTGCACTTAACATCAGACTCGCATGCTTCCTCACTTCCAACAGGGACAAAGAACATAAGGCAACCCATTCTTCGAACTTATATGAAAGCACAGATCCTCCGATAGGAATGTCGACCCACAATGTGTTAGACTATTTCCAATTGAATTAGGATCATCCAATTCTCCACTAGTTAAATCCACCTCGAATCCAACGACTATGGTCACATAAGCTATGTGGTGTTGTTTTGGATTCTGTTATTGTCACTCTCTTTCTCGCAAAAAAATTGTTACTTTTTTTATTTGTATTTATCCGAAATATTTGTGGTCAAATTTTTAAATTATATATATTTTAAAAAATAATTTCAATTAATAAAAAAGCAGTTCTTTCTTTTCTTTTATTTTTTGTTCTTTATTACTAAAAAATTACTATTTTTTATACTTTTTATCAATACATCCAATTATTTTTATTATAAAAATTTCAAACAAAATTTTTTTGTTAAATAAAAAAATTGTTATAAAGACTTTTCTATTATTATATATTTTTCATTATTATTTTCAATTTAATCTTTAATTAACTTAAAAAATTATGTACCACTTTAATTTTAAATTATTTTTTTTCAAATTTATATTGGTTCCGTGTAATGTATAATTAAATTTAATAACTAATCATTGTAATAACAAAATGTAAATAAAAAATATTAACATAACATAGTAATTAATAATTTTTTTAGATTATATAAAAATTTAAAATGAATTTTTTTTAAGATTGATGAAGTGTTAAAAAACCCTCCAAATATTCAAAATGATGATTTTTTTTAAGATAGAACAAGCATTAAAATACCCTCCAAAATGGTTATCATAGTTGTTTAGGGTGGGAGCAATGGTTTTTCTTCTTGTTGCCGTAATAGATACTGATCATATGATTGATTTCATTGGATAATGGTTACTGATTATTTGAAAAGGTCTGGAGACTTTTTTGCTCTGCTTATTTGGATGAAGATGATACAAAATTAAAATTGCTCCTCGCATAGGATCCATCGCGAACTGTAAGTCAATTTTTTTTTTTTTTTGATAAAATGGAATTAAATTACCGAAATTTCAGATTCAAACATAGAAAAACCGAACCTTAATCCGGTCTGTTTTTCAATCGAAAACCAAACCCAAAATATTTGAAACCGAACTTAAAACCGAATTTTCATCCTTATGGATTATTACAAAATCCCCTAAGCTTTAAGGTCTGCGACCTACCGCAAGCTAACATGATATTTACTCCATCCGCTAACTTGTGGTGCAACCAAGAAATACCAGTCCTGCATGTCCATGCTACAACTTCTGTTATGATTAAACATCTGGATTCAAGAGATTGATCGGTTGCAGCCCATGAAGTAAATCAGAACTTGATGTGTCGCCTCAACAGTTCAAACTGACCACTGATGAACTTTATCAGATTTACCCATCATGGAACCTTCCACCATTAATTCAATCAAATGGGACAACAGCAGCAGGCCATAGTTCTGTCAAACCTCTGATTGGAAGTTGTACTCTGGGAAAGTCAAATAAAGTTCTCTTCGGCCAAATCACACAAATGACTAGCATTCATCATGCCAAACTTTTCCATTCGCTCTTGAGTAGGAAATTCGGGAAGCTATTTTACACATTCATGATAGTTTTCATTCTTTGAGAGCCAGTCTTATCACTATCGAGAGACTGTGGATGACAGATTTCTCTCCTTCATCTTGTCAAGAAATTCAATTACCTTTTATGTCTCATTATTTAGGAAGAAACCAAGCATACGGGTAGTAAACGTGACCACATTTCGAGCACAGCCTATGTCCTCCATTTATAGTAGCCTTCTTTACAGAGTCCATGTATCATGATGGTATATGTTACAATAGGTCCCACGCAGTTTCAAGCTTCCCTGTTTTGCACAAGCCATCAATAAGGAAGTTAAAGATTTCAACGCTTAGTTCAAACTTAAAATTTTCTGTAATATGAAACAGGTCCACTGCCTCTGAAATGCAATTGTTCTTGCAATGTCCATCCAGATAAATATTATATGTCATCAAATTAGGTACCAGGTCGTGAAGTCGCATCTCACCAAACAGCTTCTGAGCATTTCGAACCTTGCCTGCCTGGAAAGAGCCCCCCAGCAAAGTATTTTACGTGATAATTGTTGGTCTGATCCCTTCATCAAGCATTTCCCTGCGAAGGCGCATAGCTTTATCTACCTTCCCGATTTTTGCAATACCAATTTCGCAAAGCATCATAGCTAACAACATTATGTTTACACCCCTTATACGCCATAGAAACATAGAGCTCCCTCCCATCATCAATTATACCAGCGAAACAGTATCCGTCTATCAATTTGGAATAAGTAAAATCATCAGGTTGCACGCCTTCTAAAGCATAAGTTCAAACAACTCACGTGCCTCTTTCATCTTCCCGGACTTGCAAAGCATATCTGCCAGCACATTGAATGTCACCAAATTTGGCTGCACACCTTGATCCATCATCTCAATCAACAATCCTTTAGCCTCCTCCCACTCACCTGTACAACACAAACCATTCGATAGGGAGCTATACACGACCACATCAGGACAAATCCCTCTACCCTGCATTTCCAGAAAAACCTCTTTCGCCTTCTCCACTGAGCCATCCTTACCAACACCGTCAACAATACTGGCATAGTAAACTGCATTAGGCTTGCAATATATACTAAATTTACCATTCCCACTAAGAACTTCATGTAACTTGAGAGCAACACTGGTATTCCCAGTTCAAGACAACCTATTAATCAAAATACTATAAGTAACCACATTAGGCCAACGGCCAAGCAAACCCCTTTTCTTAAGCAACCCAACAGCCTCACCAAATTTACCTTCCACACACAAACCCTTAATCATAGAAAAAACAATTAAGCAAAATATTCAATGAAATAAATCTGTCAACAACCCAACTGAGTCGATTCTTTTAAACAGTGAGATGACATCAAAGTAAAGCTTTTTCTTAGCAAGTGAACCTAATAAAGATTGAATGATGGCATTGGAGGTGTGGGGTGCATATTAATCATGTGATCAAAGAAGCGAATTGCGTTTGAAAGTGAAATTACCTGACTTGCAGTTTACCTTGATGAATTTTTGAAGTGGGGTTCGGCTTTGAGCGTCAAAGGTTGTCACTTTTGGGAAAGTTAGGGAGTTTGAAGTGAGTTCTTCATTTGATGTTTTGGGAGTTGAAGAAGAGATGAGAGCTTGCCTATTGAAGATGTTGTTGTTCTTGACGCTGATACATAAGCTACAAAAGGTGAAGAAGAAGAAGAAATAATAAGAACCATTTGGAGGGTTTTTTATTACTAGTATTTTATTTTTTGGATTTGCAGAGACGGGAAAATTGAACCTGAAAACTAATTCTCGAGGAACGTAGGCTCCGAGAATCCAATCCGGCTTTTAAAGCTTAATTTGGGGATCGTTTTCTCTTTCCCGGTCAACCCAACCCAACTCAATTGACTAGTATGGCTGTTTAATTGACATAAATGGGCCTTGAGCGTGGCCCAAAAAGTTCAGACATTCGCCTTTTTTCGATTAATAATAGAAATTATTAGATAAGATGTACTCCTGGTATATCCCTTTATTACTGACGTAAAATTGAAATTTATTATAATATATAATATATATCAACTGGTTCCATTATTTTTGTATGAGTAAAAAGAAACATACTAGAGATCTTAAATTACTTCTTTCTATTTAATATATTTCAAAAGATATACCCTCTTACCTTTACTCATAACTGTGGCTTAGGATTATAATTAAAAAAATTGTGATTTTAAGGTTTTTAAAATTTTTCCATTCAATAATATGAGTATTATATATTCCATTACAAGAAGAAGTTTCTCACTTGCATATATTGTTTTTTTTTTTACTATATATATCTATTGAATTATTTTCGAGTTAGTTTTTCCATTAGTTGAGATTAATCCACTACTTATTGAGTTAAACCAACGTTCGAAAGCGTTTAGTCTTTATTGACTATTGAACTTATTTTTATACCAAATGAGTTCAAATCTGATATCATTGAAAAATAATTATGACTAATTTTTTATGGATAGCGATAATTGAACCTTAATTTTAACCAAATTAAAACAATAATCTCATTGTTAGATCGCATCCTTGTTAGTATATTGTTTTTTTAGTAACTTAAACTTTGTACAATTTTGTATTCTTAGCTACATTTTATAATTTTTTTTTATACTGTTTTTTTAATGAATGTTGTGTACTGTTCATTCGTTAAGAAAAACTATTGCATCCTTTTTATTGAAAAATAATAATTGATCCAAATTGGAAACTTGTAGTTTTAGACATGGCCATAATTTAAATATGTGATGATATCAATACCATATAATATAAAGAAGGAAAAAAGATTCTTGAAAAGCCAGTACACATAGGTTCTGTTACATGTGTCACCATTTGATTTTATGGTGATGGAAATACAGGGAGCATCGCTTTATCGCTTTTATCGGTGTCTTCAGAGGAAAATCAATGGCAAATAACATTGTTTCCTGTTTTCACAGCATGAAACCAAACAGAAAACTCTCTTCCCTGGAATTCTAAAGCATGCCGAAAGGTAAGTCTTAGAGGACAAAATCTGGTCATCTTCTTGTCTCTATCAACATTGATAACAATTACATGAAACGTTTCTTTATTCCCTGTCTCAATATTATTATTCTTCAGATTACAACAGCAAACAGACCTATCTTATCATGGTGGCCTCGTCAATAGGCTTGATCATAGCAGCTGTTCATTATCGTCTCTGGAAGTTGAGGGATCGAAAGATCATCCCACGCCTAAGACCATCACAGGGAGGCCGTGTCGAAAAGCTTGAGAGGTTCCCCCATTATGTAGGTAATTATTATGAGATCCAATGACAAAAATGTACATTTAATCCAACATTTGAATCATTTCGGTCTTTTCAATCACTGTAACCTATCTCCCTCCCTCGTTGGTGAGAGCAGCAAGGCAAATGGGGTTTGCAGATAGGAGAGAATGCCCGCAGCTATGCAGGTTGGCTGCCGAATACATCCGAAAATGTGAACGGTGTGAGGAAGACATTTATGCATTCTTCGCTCAGGAACCCGACGCCGATTCACTCTATGTGAAGCTGGTGGAGGAGTTTGAGAGGTGCATTCTTAGCTATTTTGCATTTCATTGGAGCCATGCTGATATTTCGATTAGTCAGGTAAATGAGATCTGTTAGACTCGTACGGAACGACGACTCTATTTCATTGTTATTGTTTTCTAACCATCTAAGTTTTAGGTGTTGAGTTCTGATGCGGAGCCCAAAAGGAAGCTCAAACAAATCGTCATGGCAGCAACTAGGTGAGTAATACTTCTGTTAGGAAAATTCTTAAATTGCAGAACAGATATGAAATCGAACATAGCGAACTCAAAACTTAATTTCCTAGTCGTCTATCGTTTCCTCATTTCACATCATTGCACTACTTATTCAAGCATCAAGAACCACATAATGATCATGATAAATCTTTTTCTTAATCCTCCGAACCGCAGATACGAAATCATCATGAATCAGAAGATTCCCTTTAACCAAAGACTACTTCAGTGACTTCCAGATTCTGTCCATACCATAATGCCCTGATCAAACAAGAATAGCGGTGATACAATACCAAAATTTCAACTAGAATGCAAATAGGATGAGCATTAAGGGTTCATACTCTGCCACACTACAAGTGCATTCACTTGAATGGCTTCTTATTAGAATAAACCCAATGTCCATAAGATGTGAAAACTTATCTAACAACTATGCTAACCATTAAAAACTACGTATTCTTTCTGGCTTCAGATATAATTTTATGAACACAACTGCAAAAACGATCAATCACATTATAACCGAATTGAAAGGCATTAATATATACACACACACACACACTTTGCAGAAGAAAAATAATCAAGTTTCATTCTCTTTCTGGTTTAGGGAACAGACGTTTGAGAGGGTGACCAAAAATCTAAAGGTTGCTAGGGTGTTCAGTACATTGGTGGAGGAAATGAAAGCAATGGGAATCGCATCAACTGATGACTCACAATGTACAGAGGTGATGGCGCCAGTAGCCCACAGTGATAGAAGTCCGGTCCTCCTCTTCATGGGTGGTGGTATGGGAGCTGGGAAGAGCACAGTGCTCAAGGACATTCTCAACGAGTAAGAACATTCTTGTTTTGTTATTATTGCTCATAGAATTAGATGAATCGTTGAAGTTATTTGTATAACTAATATAAACATTCAAAACAGCACAGAGAAATGTCAACCTGAATAGTATTTAGGTAGTTTGTGCACTTCAAAAGAAATGTTACGATCACGAAAGGTAAAGAAAGATTGAGGAATCAGCTCAAATGAAATGGCACAGAAGAATAGGTGCTCTCTTTCGTTTCTTTCAGCCAACAAACCTTAGTGCTATATAGCTGATAACTCACAAAGTTTGTGAATAATTAGAATTTTGGGAGAAATAACATATATTGTTTCAATGAATTGTGAACAGACCATTCTGGGCAGGAGCAGCAGGGAATGCAGTGGTTATTGAGGCCGATGCCTTCAAAGAATCAGATGTCATATATAGAGCCCTAAGCTCTCGAGGACATGTTGACATGATCCATACGGCTGAACTGGTGAGATAGTGATCCCCCCACTCTAGTGAGATACCAAATCGAAACCTTTCTATAAATGTCTTTGAAAATAAATTTGCTATCTTTATGTCATCAAATTACACATTGAAACAATTCCATACACACAAGTTCACATGTAAAGCCACACCAACTCACAATAGCTTATGGAAATGTTCCAACGGCCACAATTGGGATAAAACTATAGGCACACGAGTTTGTAAATCAAGTATCTGCTTGTGAAGTTAACTTACTTCAACCTTAACCTTCTATAACGCCAGTACTGGATAAATTTGAATGTTGTAGTAACTTCGTATTAGGAATGAACATAGTTTTCTTTGTTTTTTTCACACAGGTGCACCAATCATCTACGGATGCAGCATCTTCTCTCTTGGTGACAGCATTGAATGAAGGGCGGGATGTAATCATGGATGGCACTCTCTCCTGGGTACCATTTGTTGTGCAGACAATAACTATGGCCCGAAATGTCCACCGCCGTCGTTATCGCATGGGAACTGGTTATAAGGTAGGTACAGATGGATCTATAACTGAGGTCTACTGGGAGAAAATTGACGAAGAAGAACCATCACTACAAGAAGGATCCAAAAAAAGAAAACCATACAGGATAGAGCTGGTTGGGGTCGTTTGTGATGCTTATTTAGCTGTTGTCAGAGGCATAAGGTATGTAGCAAATTATTACAGTACGATGGCCTGAAGCTTCCAGTTTTAATTACATAAAGTGCACCAGAGTTTTTATTCCTGAGGTGACATTGACAGTGGGACATTTTGAGTGTTTTCAGGAGAGCTATAATGTGTAGAAGAGCTGTTAGGGTGAAATCACAACTGAAATCCCACAAGAGATTTGCAAATGCATTTCTAACGTACTGCCATCTGGTTGACAATGCCAGGCTATATTGCACCAATGCCCTGGAAGGTCCACCTAAGGTACATAAACTGTCCGTCTGGCTTCACTCTTTTCTGGTTTCTTTAAGCTCTTAACAAGGCCACAGAACATAGCATACAGGGTATTCCAAACACCATATATAAATAAACTGCAGAGACCAAACTCTAGTTAGGAATTAAGGGACTTGACTTGAAAGTTGCTTGTCAAAGTAAAATTTACTGGATGCTCACAGGTTGTAGGCCATAGTTGACATAAACCACACAACTGAGCTGAGGTTAATCGCAAACCTGAACCTACCAAACTGTCAATAGCCAGACCTGGTTACAGCTGAATCTCAACATGAAGAAGACATAGTTCAGCCATTTCAGGTTCCAAGAGAAACGAGCATAAAAGATAATAGATTATGGCTGTCAGGTTTAGACCTTAACAAAAGAATCTTCAGACGAAATACTGACACAGCAATCTTTGTGAAGTTGATAGGATGGAAAGACAAGGACAGGAATCTGCTGGTTGATCCAGATGAAATAGACTGTTTAAAAAGAGTGGGCTGCTTGAACGAGGAAGCAGAATCTATTTATGAACTTTACAAGTACCCTAATCCAGCTTGTGAAGATGGTTCAATTTGGAAAGACATTGTATTATCTCCATCAAGGTTAAACATTCAAAAGGAGTTGAAGTATTCTATTCAGAAAGTTGAAGGATCAAAAATGACAAGTTCAAAGTAGAGAGAAGATGAAGTTCCAAAGCTTCTTAAAAGCTTCTTTAAAGTTCAAGGCCCCAAAGATTGAAGCTGAAGAAAGTGTCTGATCTTTTGCACGTTTACAGCCGAGGAAAATATAACATAGGTTTATTAAAATGACTGATCTAATATGTAAAACTTTCTTCTTTTTTTGGCTATGCTATATGTAGAGTTTTATTGCTAGCAAATCACAGGACAGAAAACAAAAACTGAAGATACAGCAATATTTTTACTGGTGCCGAGAATGTATCAGATGATTAATTACACGAGTTAGACACTTGTAGCTCTTAAATTACCTTCCAGCAACAACTCAATACTTCTTCTTCTTCTTTATTTTTATTTATTATCAATATTTTATTTTATTTTTTTGATAAGTAATCGAACAATACTTCTTAAGTCAACTTATACATAGTGAATGCAGACCAACAAAATCAAGATGCATTGACGTCCCTTCGAAATTTCTTACTTCTTTGATCACAAACTTCAGTGACTTTTATTAACTAATCCAAAGATCATAATCTTTTCAACATCAATAATTATTTGGGACACCATTCTTCAAATTTTGCTCCCAAATTTTGTCAGACACTTCAATTCTTGCTCCCCTGTTCAGACAGAATAAGATTGGCTTCTGGATTACTGCTCCTTCGCAATTTCCATATAAGAAGTGTCAGGCATGGGTAAATCCGTATCGGTTTACTTTTGAGTAGACAGTAGATAAAATGAAAAAGATTTGGGCATGAATCATGAGTACAAGTCATGGCCAGAGTATCGATAAGTGCACATTCTAGAAAGGCGTGCAGCCATAAATGGAATAACTAGATGGAAAATCACGAATTTATATCAAATGGAATTCAGGTTCAACATTTCAAGGGGTGTTTGGACGCTGAAAAGTGAAGTCTGACGGGCAAAAGGAAATAAAAGGAACAAGAAAACAATTATTAGAAAATAAATTAGAGAGAGCAGAAGCAAAATATTCAAGGCAAAGCGAAAGGCTGGTGTAAAACTAAAGTGACAAGAAAAATGGCAGAGGTCACACAGAAATAGAACAATCCAAATTTCTTTATCTCGCGAGTATAGGCAAAAATTTCCCCACAGTTGGAGAATTACTTCTATTACATGTTAGAAAGCCACACTCCAGATATATAACCACGAAAACGGGCATAATGACTTTTTAACAGTCAGATAATCAACGTAAAGTGATATGCAAGTGAGAGAGATCTCTTTTAAGCAAGTTAGGTCGACAAAAGCCAACGAGTTCCTAATGTCAGCAACATAGAATGCTTGATTGATGATTTGCATCCTACTAAACTACATCCCGAATCATGGCTGGCGAATGAGCTCTGTTCATCTGCTCTAGAGGCATTCACACTGTTTGAAGACATAAGGCTACTGAAATCATGGAAACAGAGAGAAGAACCACCATGAGAGGCAGTGCACTTATATGATCATTTGCAAAACAAGAAAGCATATAAAAATTCATTCAGAAATGGAAGCTTTAGTGTAGGGTAATCTTCATAAAGCCGGTCCAAAATACAAACATCTGATGAGTTAATCTAGACTGACAATTAGTCATCAGGCAACCATGTCTCACCTCCTTTAGCCACACAGTTATATCATCACGCTAATGAACCTTCAATCATGGAATTCTTTGATCATTCAAAATAACTAACTAGTATATAACAGTATATAAACAATATATGAGAAGCAACTAGTCTCGCAAGTTGTTTACTAAAAAAGAGAAGGCAAATTCCCAATCCTGATCTTCTACTATTAGGATTTCAGGAAAATATAGTTTTATATAAATGCAGATAAATGAATCTGTGCCACATGGGAGGAAGAATAACAATTCAAGTTGATTCCCACCTTACAATTTTGAAAATCTATCGTATCACCATATGAATGCAATGTTTTCAGCGGTCCAGTGTGCAATATGTAGATGTCCAAAACCCTCTGATAATGTCAAGTCCTGACTTCGTATGATTCCCAGGAATAATACATACCTAAGAATAACAATTCAAGTTGATTCCCACCTTACAATTTTGAACATTTATCGTATCACCATATGAATGCAATGTTTTCAGCAGTCCAGTGTGCAATATGTAGATGTCCAAACCCTCTGGTAATGTCAAGTCCTGACTTCGTATGATTCCCAGGAATAATACATACCTAAGTTTTTCAAAAATTCATACACAATTCTTCACCCAAAGGTATCACTTAGAAGAAAGAAGTTTGGTAGATGTGATCCAACATTAGACATCATTGAAATAAATCATAATAGGTGGGAACAAAATCAAGTACTTACTGCTCAGTTTTCACCTTTAGTTTGTACCGCTTTCGTTCTCTAGAATGGCTTCTGAACATCCATTTACCTATGCCCACTTTACCAACATTCTATTTGTCAACAAGATAGAACCATATACCCGTTGCAAGGCTGTTTTATAGCTGTCTCTATGAAATGTTTACTTCAATTTACTGCCTAGTCAGCAATCACAGAACACCCAAGAAAAATGATTGCTCTTCGTTCATATACCCCTATAATAACAATTGATATAGCAAGTGAAAACTTTCTCAAGCCTCACCGGCTTCCTTGTTCAAGCTTAGCTTCCTTAAATGAGCCTGAAAATAAAACTTGAGCTTATTCATGGATATCCAAAAAACACAAGCTCTGCACCTAACTCTGAATTCTTCATAAAATGGCTTAAATAGTTTGCAGACCCTATGCATCCTCCAGATTATTCAGGCTGTAATAGGGCCACCTATCGTGACAAGTCATATGCAATTTGAGTAATATGGCAGCCACAACGCAACAAAGGGAAAGAGAAAGGAAATAAGAATACATGGTTCAGGATAAGAACAGATGTCAATTAGATAAGTGTTTTGAAAAGCAAATTATCATAATATACAGTTTAAAAATAATCCAGGGCAGCAATGAAAGATTTAAAAGAAAACTAACAGCATCAGGATTAGTGTTCATAAATAATTATGCAGACAGCTCCAACATTCTATAAAAAATGTGAGGAAAGTATTTTAATAGGAACTTCAGAAGACAATGAAATCCCAGAAGAGAAGACAATTTCCATATCTTCATTTGGAACAAGAGATATATCTTCAATGCAGTTCTCTTTTAGCATGTCTACGTGTTTGTAAGATATTTAAATCAACATAGACTACTAAAATACAACCAATACAGAAGCACTATTATGTTGCATTTCTCAAATGACCAACCAATCATGTTTCTCCGGCAAAGTAATATATCAGCATTTCACTTTTGGTGATGGTAATTACGCTAACGCACAGATGATGAATCTAACATCTCAGAAAAACTTAAATAGAAGATTCTGCTTCTGTTGTTTACTTTATTTGTCTTTATTTATTGCATCATATGCAAGAAAAGTACTACGTTCAGCGAGTACCTAAATGGTAAGATGAAAAAATGGCTGGGTATCAACCAATCCATTGAACAAAATAAGTAAACCATTTTTTGAAGAAAGTTCGTATAAGGTAATGATAGATTCTTCGGACATCTGTAAGATATTCTGTTATAATGAATCGACTAGCTTATATGAACAAAGGAAAACATATGGAGGTTCTATGTCTCGAGGATAGTAGGAAAAATTACTGCTCATTGATTCTCGATCAATGTCCATGTAGTTCAGGTTGCAAAAAATAGCCATAATTTAAATAACAACGACGATAATAATAATGCCATTACCTGCAACTAGGACACCATGAAGAGAATCCTATTTCACCATGGAACTCAGTATAGGAACTTTTCCAGAGGAAATCCATTAATTCTTTACATTCACAGTCTTCTAATTGGTCCTCCAACTTAGAAGCAAAGAATACAGCACCATCAAGGAGCAAAATTTTCTCCTGTCCACAAATGAAGAAAGCAACTAAGCAAGTGAAAAAGAAAAAAAAATGATCAGCAGAACATAATAGGAAGGTATATGAGAACACTGAGTTAGCCTTCCATGATGCTAACATCCGATCTAAGTTCGATAGTGCATAATCAAATGTCATTTCAGGCCCCCCCAAAACCCTCTTATCTCTGTTTAATTGTCTAGAACACTATGTATTGCCAAATATTAGTTATCATTGATCAAAACAAAAAACCATTGAAGCAAGAAAGTTATTAGATTCATTGCCAAAGATATAAACAGAATAATCAAAGGCCGTACAGTACTATTTTAAACTACATTGGATAATCGCTGTTACACTTATACAGAAACTAATAAGCATCTAGATGGTTTCTGAACAAAATGATTCTATAAAAATCTGCGCGTACTAGCCATGCACAATCCAGTTTGGAATTGGAAACAAACTACTTAAAACGCCTTGCAGAAAACAGGAATGCAAGATAAAGATCAACGCCAGTAACATGACATGTATCAACAAGGTGCTAAATTACCATTAGTAAAGACCAGTACCTGAACATGATCTCCATCGAGTGAAATTCTGCGAGGTGGATTTAGAAAACAATACTGCCCTGCATATTTTTGCATGAAATGCCTATCCTCAAAACTTGAACCTGCATTTTTATACTTCCAAGCCCAAGACTTGACCGTTGCACCAAATCAAAGGTCCCTAGAAAATTATCGTCACCACGTACCAGAAATTCTTGAGCTTTTAGTGCAAAGTTTGCGTGCCCTAAAACATAAATTCTGGTAAATACCCTGAAGTTTTACGAACATTTTAAGGTGAGCCATAATATACCTTAACAATCCATGTAATTTTGCCTCACTTGCTCAGCCCGGGACTTCTTTTTTTGGTATAATCTCAACCTGAGATTTTATTTATTTATGAAGGTTATGAGAGTGACATCATGGTTGAGGGGGTGTGACTTGCCCCACACGCTTTGCACTTTCCTAATCTTCTATCACAATCACAGTTGTGAATGCCATTTCCTCTGTGCTAGTTTATTTGTCAGACTTTCTAAACCAACTCAATACGCTTGCTCCTTCCTCTGATCTATCAGCAATGGAGCACAATTTCCGTTCCAATAGTAAAGTTAATTAACCTAGCTATTTAAGAGCTTCTAAATTTTTGTGTGTCGCCAGCAAAAGTTTCAGTCTCTCCCGCGCCTCCTCCAGGAACAAAATTATTATAATTCAACAGATAGCAAAGTCCTTAAACGGCCTCCTAAGTGCCATCAATGGTGGTGGTGGTGGTGAAAGACAGCTACAAGAAAGCATCCACTCTCCTATTTCGCTTTGTGCCCAGAACCTGTTTGATAAAAATCTTGAAAGAAGCGAAAAGTATGTGGTCAAGAGAGATGGCAACCTGTTTGGCTAGGTTTAGATCTTTTATTTTATTTGATTTAAGTTTTTTTTAAAAAAAATAATTCATTTCTTGCCACGTATCTGTAGATTCGAGCATTTTCAATATGATATGACTGAAAGAACTCAAACAGAAAAAATATCAAAACTTAAGACACTCAAATATATAGAATAATAGGTTGAATACTGAAAAGGAAAAAAGAAAAGAAAATCAGCACTCAAAATGCAATTCTCTTTTCCAAACCATAGGACCTGAGCGTGCTTAAAACAACAACTAGCACACAAGTGATTCATTCATAATCATACACAGACTTGGTGAAACATTCCAACGAAATGACAGACAAATCATGCTGGGCAATTTGCATTACAAAAACAAAATAAGTGATAGAATTTTGAGTCAGGTTTTGATTTCAAACTTCAGAGCAAAAGAAGCGAAACAGAGACAGAATTTTGGTGGTGTGGACAAATGAATATTCAGTGAATCTGAAAATTATAGCAGGCAGCATTTCGGCTCAGTGTTAGCAATGAAGTTCTACAAACAAAACAAAAAATCTATCTGCTGCTAGAGGATTCTATTTCGATATTCCTTAAGTACTACAAATCTATGTAGTGACATCTATCTACCTCCTTTAATATTAAAGTATCGAAGCAATGCTTGCAACTACTAACCTGTCAAAACTTGAAGAGTTGAGCAGAACAGCGAATAAAAGCCCTGGCTTAGCTTTTCCTTCGAACTTCAATTACGCAACTACTCACCCTTTAACATTGGCGTGTGATTGACGCTGCCTGCCTTCTCTTCTTCCCTCACCACTTAGATACACCATAATCACCGCACCCCTATTCTCTTCTCCCCGTTTTCACGCCAATCCGATCTCCCTGTTTCTCTCTCACTACCAAAAAAGCAAAAACCCTAGATCGGAACATTTTGCTACAACTTTTCACTATTCCAATAACATTTAGAGTCAGAACCTGTTAAACGTATTTCAATCGAAAATGTCGAAGATACAGATAACTCGTAAGAAAGCAACAAGGCTCCAACTGTCATATTATAAAATCATTTAATTGAACATTAGCATCTATTACTGTTTCAAATCTAGATAACAAACAAAACCAAGGGAAACAAATAAAATACCTCAGGAAAAAAAAGACCTAACATCCGATGCCATTTTTTTAAATCGAATGGGCTTTACAAGTAACCCAAATTACAAACCCACCCTTAAAAAAACCACCGATTACAGAACTACCCCTACAAACACTACGCTCTGTATATCTCTCATCCATCATTTTCTCACTTTTTCCCTTTCTTTGACGCTACTTTCTTCGCCGAAGCCTTAACGCTCTTCGGTCTTACGGTCTTAGCAGGCGTCTGAACGGTCTTCGGCTTTACGGACTTGGCCGGCGCCTTTTTCGCAACTGCAGCCTTCTTCGGCGTGGCTTTGGATGCTACGGCTTTCCTTCCAGGAGATGTTCTCGTTGAAGTCCTAGAAGCTTTAGCCGGTCTCTCCTTGGCCTTGGGCCTAGCCGGAGTAGCCTTTGGCTTTACAGAAGCGGTTTTAGCCTTAGCTGGAGCAGCCTTTGGTTTGGCGGGAGCTTTTGGCTTGGCAGCAGCAGCCTTTGGTTTAGCTTTCGGCTTTGGCTTGGCGGCAGCTTTGGCCTTCGCCGGTGACTTAGCCGTCGACTTGGTAGACTTAGTTTCCTTAGCCTTAGGAGCAACTGACTTAGATTTAGACTTTGGCTTGGCGGCAGTTGCCGACTTCTTTTAGCCGGAGCCGCAACAGCTGGTTTAGTTGGAGCGGAAGATTTAGCCGATGGAAGCTTGAAGGATCCTTTGACTTTAACAATCTTACCAGAAGTTACGAGCTTCTTCAAATGAAACAACAAAAGTTTCTTAAAATTCGATGGAAGTTGCTTGTATTTCTCTTCAAGAAACTTAGTAATCGCGTACTGACTTGAGCCTGTCTTCTCTTTCAATGTCAAAATAGCATCCTTAATCATCTACGAAAATCATAAAAAGTAACATCAGATCCAAAATTCAATAACAAAAATATTAAAAACAAAATTGAATCTTATGTTGTGAATTATTACCTCTTCGTAAGGGGGTGAGAGGAGGGGGTACGAGGACGGAGTTTTTTAGGGGCAGCAGCCTTTGCTTTAGGTTCTTTGGTTTTTCTGGCTCTGGTGGGCTTGGTGGCCGGCTTATCATCAACCGGTTCAGCGGATGGTGGTTCGATGATACCATCGACGGCGACAGTGGGTTCGTCAGAAGACATTTTCAGAGAATTGTGATTGAAATTGCAGGGCTAAGGTTTGAGAGGAGAGGAAATAGAATAAACTGAAATAAGAATACGGGCGAGAAGATTAGATTGGATCTGGTGGTGTTCAGTATGCAGGCGATTCTTAATTTTTTTGTTTGTGTGGAGAAGATGACGGAAATTATGGGATTTAAATAGTCAAGTGAGAGAAGGACGGTATCCTAAAATTGGGTTCTGATTGGTGGAGAGAGTTAGGACGCGGATCGCTCCCTTTGTTCAATTTTAAATATAAACCGTTGGATTGTTATTTATCTACGGTTGACCGTTGGGGAATTATGGGAGGTGTGGATGAGAGGACTAGGACTGGATGATGAAACTTTGCTGGATTGGGTGTGCTTTTAAGCTCAATTAAATTGTGCATAACTTGAGCTAGAGTTAGTGAATTTTGCTGAATTTTTTTGCATTGTGTAGATAATTATATGAGGTTTGTAATGAGTGGTGTAAAAATTTCTGAGGATTAGTAGTTTGAGAGAAATTTGAGTTTGAAGCCGTAATGGTCAAAAGTAGGGTTTTGTTTGATGTCATTGTGGTTTTGGTAAAATTTAGAAGAATGCTTGGAATTAATTCTAATTTTTTTTGTTTCATTTTATAGTAGGGTAGTAGAGGAATCTATTGGTCCAAGAATCATGAAAATCCATGGAGATTTAGGTCGGAAACTATTGATTGGAAAGACAATGAAGTTGAACACATCTTACAAGGGTGTGTGTTCATGTGCACTACAACATTGTAATTTGTATGGTATATGTATCTGCTGGAAAATTATTTGATTCATTCTTTTCAATTTGTGAAGGCATCAGTGGTGATCAATTGGAGTATAAATTTGATTAAATACAAAGTAATTGAATCGGTAATTTACAAAGAATCATTTAGCCAATCATACTTCAACATCATGTAAAAAAAAATTATGTACACAAATTATATGAAACCTCAATATGCTATTGCATCAAATTGACGTATACTACTCACTCTTGTGTGAAAATCAATGCCTAAAAATTGTCCTTGCAAACATATATTGCACCCTCTATCCGGGAATTTATTATGTGAAAAATTATTATGCTTGATCTTGGTTTACGTTTACCGTTGTTCATCGACTTCTCCATGCTCCAAAGGCATGAAGCAGTAGCATGACTCCAAATATGATATAAATGTATGCATCTAGATCTCTTTTATTACGGAATTGTTATTAAGAAAATCCTATAAGCTTGTGTTCAACCATGAATTAACCATGCCATGAATTTGTAAATTAAGGATAAAGTAAATACTCGTCAAGTCAACACTCGTCAAAACATCGGTAATATATTCACTTCGGTATACTTCATTTTGTGGTAAGAAGTAACAAAATAGTTGTTTGATATTGTTAATTCATAGACCAATCCTCCGTTTTGCAATCAAAAGACTAACTAGCGCCTTATCGATTCATGTATGTGCGACGAAATATTAACTTGTGCAATTATACTAGGTGGTATGTATCGATCTCAAGACAAAAGGATGCTTTTTATGTAGCCATCAATGTTTCTAACCAAAAACCATTTGTATTAGCAACATGTTGCAAGTTTCAAAATGCATAGCCTTCAGATGTAATCCACTGTTTTAACATCCAAGTTGGGAATAACTCGAGAATGCATATAGGATGTTGAATGTTCCTTGGATGATATGAACATTTGCAAGCGGTGCTTCTTGTTCTATATATAAGGTTAAGATTGCGAGAGGGATTTCTCTTAGCATGATTAGGGAACTTGTTGGATTCAACTATGATCCACAATAATCTATGATCTTGTGTTTATTTTATTTAACATATTCATGTTAATTTTTCGTAACAAGTTAACACGGATATGTCGAACTTAGATTCATGGTGCGTTTGTTAATAAGCTAACTATGATATCTTGCTTATTCGATTACTTATTATTACTTTCCAAGCTAATAATTTCTCGACACAAGGCGAGTAAAATTTGGTTTAAACTTCTCCGAGTTGCAAGATAAACTCAAATCGAGTGTTTTACACTTTTACTTGAAATGCCGAAAATGCAATGCATTTGGTGATTGCTTCGTTTACTAGCAAGAGCAAAGGCATGGCAAGTATTGGGATGTAGAGTTCTTTACATGGCACGAAAGTTTGCATAGAAGGTATGCTTATCCACACTCAAAAGTTAACAAATGAATGAATTAGATTTCCTAATTTATGTGGTAATTAATTATACATGTAAGGTATTAAGCATCACCATGAAAAGAAAGTATATCTCAATATGATTAATGTCAAACCAAAAATTTGGAAAAAAAAATCTCGATGCAACTCACAAGTCCTTGTATCATTGTTTGATGTTTCTAGAGAAATTTCTCGTCACTACTATTTCAACCCCCACTCGTTTTCCTTTTGAATTCATTTTAAGATCCATTTATTAGATACTCGGGCGACCCACCGGGGTAGCCCTCAAATTTAAACTAAGAATTGACAAGTAAGAAATACACTCGCATTGCTCGCTCGATCAAGTCTATAATGTTCTCCATTGATCAAGGTTTAAACAAAATACGAGTGGTGGGCAATTGGAATGTTAAGAAACATTAAATCGTAAGGATTGATTTTGATAGGAACCCGTAGTATAAGGCGTTATACAAATCCAACACGAAGACTTGTAGGGGTTAGGGGCGGAGCTTTCGAAAGATCTATAGAATATTAAGATAAATGTATAGGCTCGTTAGACCTTTTTTCTTATAATTCTAGCTGTCTAAACTATAAATAGAGATAACATTATTTGTATTTATAGCCATCACTTGACAAAGCTTAATAAGAAATCTTAGTGCGATCATGAGTTAGGCATTATTGTCAAATCATGTAAAATCTTTATGTTGTGTGATTATTCTTATTTTTATACTCTATTCTTTTGCTTCATTTGTTTTCAAACAAGAAAACCTTAAAATAATGAAGATTAACATGATAGGAACAATCATTGACTATTGAATGAATCAAGTTCGGGATCTACCTTGGCAACTCGGTATTATGTTGAGGCTTGGCATGGAAAACCAAGATTAAGTCTAAGTCATGAAATAAAGGGATCGGGCATGTAAAAATTATTGCAACTTCTCCGAGTCAATTCTCACCGATGCATTAGTAAACTCCAAAGAAGAACGAAGAATAACATATATTTTTAACTCAAGATTTTTCTTTGAGTGACGAGAAAAAAAAAGAAGAAGAAGAAGCTCCAGGACCATCATTTTGGAGCCAAAATTACAATCTTCTTACGTATCTAGTGTACATGCTCCCAAAACAAATAGCTTAAATGCTTAGATACTAGTTTATTTCTCTTGTCCAATTAAATGAGTTTAGAGTATCAAATTAATTACAAGATCGAGTATTTAGGAAAGAAAAAAAAACTTTATAGACGTAGGAGCATCTTTATTGGATCAATAAAATCAAACCTTTTTCCTTTTCTTTTTATTTGTGGAAGGTTATCAAACCTTATACATAGAATGAAAGCTAGTCTATCTCCTCCCGTGCATGTCATTCTAGTTCGAAGGGAATTCAATCCCAAGTTTAGATATTACATAAAGTGACCTTAAGTTAAATCTACTTACATCCATGTATAAAAACCAAGAAACAAGCATAAACATAAAGAAGTCTAATGAAAAACCTCATAATCGCCCATGTGTTTATATCAATCTAGTAATTAGCTTTTCTAAATTTATTTAGTTAAAATTTATCCTTTGAAAAAAAATATAGTCAATTCAGCTTAATTGGACTAAATTACATTAAATTTTCTAAAATAATAATTAAAAAATGAAAATTCTTATCCATTTTTTTAACCAAGAAATAAAAAAACTTAAATATTTTGGATTTTTTTTCTTTTCTTGTAAAAATTCAAGTATTTTAATGATTGAGAATTTTTAACAAAAAAAAATATTTGTTAAAAAGTTCAAAATTTTACTTTAAAAAAATTCTTAAACATTTTTTTAAATTAAGTATTTTATTTTATCTCTAAAATTTTTCTCTTTTAAAGAAAGAACCTATTAGGTTTTTTATTCCATTAACATTTTATAAATTTTTATTTTTTTCTTGAACTTTTAAAAAATTACAATCGGTATCCATCATATAATTTAATGCAATTTAGTACAATTGCAATAGCTCGATTGTCAAATCAATATAAACACAAAGGCAATTGAGAGAGTTTGTGTAACACTCTATTTTTATAGTAAGAAATCATGTCTAAAATATGAAAAAAAAAACACACCCACACTTGTATTTCATATAAATATATGCAAGACAAGTTATTTAAGTATGAATTATTTCATACATAGCAAATTTACTCTTAAATATACAAACCGTGCACAAGAGTACTCGGTAGACTATACATGACGAGTCAAGAAAAAAAAATCTTCTTCTAACTCTATATCCAAACGATGAGGGAAGAGAGTGATTGTGGCTTTCCGACCTTTAACTCATCGTGTTATGTACAAGTTCTCAAAAATAGCTCAAAACTTCTAACTTCTACCTATTTGAAAACAAAATATGCGTTTCCTCATGAGTCGTTACTCGGTTATGAGACTATTAAAGAAATTACCAAGTTCAAACATAACAAGCATTTCACAACAAATTAATAATCACTTCCATTCTTAAAAGCATATCAAATGATAATTAAAGACATATAAATACATAAGTTGTGCATATGCAAGAATCATTTTATTAATTATGACCATAAATGTCAAGCATTATTCCGAACACTCTATCCATGTATTAACTACGAGAGTCTATTTTATAGTGATCACGAAAGTTTATTTTGTAAAAATCTCTATGTAGCTAGTTAGTATTATTTATACTTATGTTTCTTTTTCTCTCCCAAATCATTTTGGCTATATCACCCTCTTATTAATCATATTATTACAAACCACGAGTCTATGTCTATTTTCTTATACAATCACATTTCATAAGCCTCAAATATCCGACGAGTAGTTCAAGTTTAACACAACAGATTGCACTAGTAAGTACTAATAATATATCTTGGTTCATAAGCAATAAAGTCTTATTTAAGCTTAATGATTCAAGTTAAGCATATAACACATTTGTATAGCATGGAAGCAGGTTTTACTCACCTACGAGCAAACTACTCAACTTCTTTTTCTTTCTCTTGCCCTTCTTAACTTCTCGAGCTTATAAATTATATATCACACATGTACATGTTATACTCTATTCATGACATTATAGAGTAAGTATGTATTATTAAACTATATTTACTATGGTTTCGTGCTAAAATTTTATTCACCAAATTTATGCTAATTTTTCAAAAGTTGTTATGTTTTAAGCATGTTTGTTTCGGGACGATCTATAAACAAGTAACAATAAATCATGTTCTAGACATAATTAAGACCTATTATTTGATGAGTAGTAACTAGACACACTTACCTAAAACATATTAAAAAATTACATCAAAACTCTAACTCGTTGAGTTTATGGTGCAATTTTATATTTTGTTGTGTTTTAGTTCCAAAACTCACAAGCGTTCTCTATTAATTAGCTATAACTCAAAATCTACAAGGTTAATAACCCTAAAATTTATAGGCACTTAGAAAGGATAAAAGGGTACAACGTATCCAAAAATCAGATCAAAATAAAAAGCACACAATTGACACATAATTTTAAAAATAGTTATTTTCGGCATCAAGTCATACAAGACAGTCCACACTCAAATGATCGTAACTTGGAACACACACAACTAGTGGCAAATCCCTTTTACAAGGACTTTAAGACATAAGGCAACATCTTTGCCCAAATCTAACTCTAAAGTTTGGAAATCGGAGGTGTAAATAGTGTTAGAGGTATAAATACCTAGCAATAATGCTTGAACATATGAAAGCCATGCAATATTAGATAAGAAAATAAGTTACTCCTTTCTCTCTCATCTTTCCTCTTTTTTTTTTTCCTCCTTGTCTCTCGGGATTTTTCTCAATTTTGAGAGACCAAATATATGCACAAACCGTCTCTTGCTTCTTTTTAATAATAATGATCCTCGTCATGCTTATTAGCAAATATGAGATGGCATAATCAAGAGATAACTAGCACATAGGGATATTTCAACACTTTATCTCAATGCTATGAGTTTCAATTTCATACCTAGAAGCCTTTGCCCACTTTTATTTTAGGCCTCTTTAACTTTTCCATTAATTACTATTCAATATCTTAAAGAGAAAACGTTCACACTAATGACATGCCATAACTATGTTTAACACACATTAGTATTTAGGTCCTCTTACGGATAATGCAATTCAACTTCTAATTATGTTTATGAATACCAATGCACATGCTAACGAATGCAATCAAGATGATTTTGGAACAAAGATGTTACAGTTTATCCTTATCCAAATCTTATGGACAAATTATGTTTGCTTGATTACCATGATTTAAAACTTTCATATAAATTATGCTTAGGTTCAATTTGTAAGATTACACATGCAAGATCGACATGAAAAATGTCGAATTTCAACTACTTTGTGTAGTCATGAAATACAAATTACTAGCATCGAATTAATCTAAAAAGTTGCATTCTAATGTTATTTAACTTATCATATTCGAAAATGAATTCAATTTGATTGTTAAAGTTAATTATTTTGAATTCTCAATTCTAAAATAGATAATTTATATTTTTTTCATGTAATGACTTCACATCACCAAAATTAGAACTAAAAAGGAGGAGGAAGAAGAAAGAAATAATCAATATCAAAAACCAATTAGATTCCTACAAGAAAATTTAAGAGATTACTTTTAATCAATAAAAAAATATAATTCGATATATTTGTTTGTTCTAAAATTTAAAAACATAAAAGACCAAAAACATTTTTTTTAAAAAATATGAGGAACAAAAAATATATTTTGAAAAAAAGTGAGGCAAAAATTGATTAAATTACAAACATGAGATTTCAAAATATTTTTAAAAATACGAGGATTTAAAAATATAGTTTGAAAACATAAAGGACCAAAAAGAAATAAAGTGTAAAATTTGAAAATGAATGCAAATATATATATATATATATATATATATATATATATATATATATATATAAAGAAATCACGAAAATGACATTGTAGAAAATCACAAAAAATGCCCAATCATTAGTTTGTGTGGAAAAATAGTAACGATTGATTTTTAAAAATTTAACACCCAATTAAATGAAGAAAGAACATAAATTGATTGAAAAAAAAAACAAAGAAAAAAAACCAAAGAAAAGGCATGTAATGCATAGCTAAGGATTAAAATTTTTATTGACTAAAACAAAATAATTTAAAAATTACAAAAAAAAAAAACTAAGAGTGAATAGTAAATGAGGGGGTGAACTAAAATATAAAACATATCGTATATATTATATAATCATTATTTTGTGTGAAAAAATTACGATTAATTTTTAAAAATTTTAATACCCAAATAAATAAAAAAAACATAAATTGATGAAAAAACAAAGAAGAAAGGAAAAGAAAAGGCATGTAATGCATGAGCTAGAGATTAACATTTTTATTTTAAAGTTTTAGGGAGTAAAATGAAACAATTTGAAAAAAAATAAATAGTGAATAATACTGTTCAAATGAACAAGTACAATGATCGAAAAGTGACTCGTTCAAACAAACAGTGAACTCGGGATTGTTCAAATGAACAATGAACTACCCAATTGTTTTAAAAATTAAAATTTTAAAAACTAGAGTGAAACAATTTGAAAAAAAAATCAAAAAACAAAGAGTGAATAATATTGTTCAAATGAACAATACAACAAGTGAGAAGTTACTATTCACTCATTATTCAAATAAATAGTGAACTAGGGATTGTGCAAATGAGCAGTGAACATCCCAACTGTTTTGTTTTTAGTAGAATTCACTCCCTCTAAAAGATCTACATAAGTGTTTATATTTTGTTACAAACACATCATAACATAATTAAATTAAATTAAATTAACCAAATCCATTATTTGCCATACAACTCATATCATCCAAATAAAATGGACAGCACTTTATGAAAATAATATGGAAAGAATCAGTTCTTTTACATGTACTTTTTAAAAAAAATTATATTTACGCGTTAAAAAAAAGAAGGATTGAATCGGTAGAGAAATGGACTGCAATTGGTTTGGATCAAAGATAAAGGATCACATTGTATGTTTAGAAAGATAAAAAGGGCTTTGAACAAGTGCGTTAAACAGTTCAGGGGTCGATTCAATCAAGACTTGTCCTTGGGCTTTTTTGGGTACTATATAAATTCACCATCACAGGAGTAACTATGAAACCCTAGCCACCCCCTCCTAACTCTCTAGCCTATTCCATAACCGAGCAAGGGTTTTGCGTCTCTGCATTCTACAACTTAAGCCATGGTAAGATCTCAAGCCCAGCACCGATCTTCAATCTTATCTAAGCCTCTTAATGTTCCCGGGAAAATTATCGAAACTGGCTGAAATTCCTAACAGCCGATCGATTAATCATTGTTTTACCAGGAACCAAACAGAGGGTTCGAACGGTTCTGTAACTGATTTATTTATTGTTATTTGTGGTGATGAATTTCAGGCGGACGTTGAGACCGATGTTGCTGCAGCAGGACAGCCAAAGAAGAGAACATTCAAGAAGTTCAGTTTCAGAGGAGTTGATTTGGATGCTCTTTTGGACATGTCTACTGATGAGCTTGTCAAGCTCTTTCCGGCACGTGCTCGCAGAAGGTGAGCGAGACAGAAACTTAAAACTCTCTTTTTTTCTCTGTTTTTATTATGCTTGAGTGATTTGTTAAAAGGTTATATTTGTGTTGATTTGATTTCAGGTTTCAGAGGGGCTTGAAGAGGAAACCAATGGCACTTATCAAGAAGCTGCGCAAGGCGGTACGTTTTTCCAATCACCTAGTCTGCTATTTGTTTTAATTTTGTTTGAATTTGATTGCCTTTTTTTATTGGAATAGTTTTCACTGGATTTTGTCATACAATTAATGAAAAAATAAATAAATTATGTTTGCCTTTATTTGCCCATAGCATCACATCATAATAACTGTAGGACTCTTAGATTCGTTTGTCCAATTTAAATTCAGCGTTGCATTTCTTCTTTTATCATAGCTAGTAGACGAAGCAGAACATGGATCTGATCAAGAGACATTACCACTTGATGGTTATCTTGTAGGCCAATGGGACATTACCATTTGATGGTTATCTAGTAGGCCAATGGTTGAATGCTTGAACTATTTGACCAACCAAAAAGAATGGTGTGAAGGGGGTAATAACAGAATAACCATAATTATTTGGAACTTGGACACTTTGATGAATGAGTTTCAAGTCTGTTGCCATTTTATTTTTCATTTGCAGCTGCAATAGCTGTACTTGTGTTGTTGGCATAACTTCTGTTGTCATTTTGTTTCTCGTTTGCATATTCATTCTTGCTTGCATCTTTGTGGAGTTGAATGCAGTGCTTAAAAGGCCAGACTGTGATATAAACTAACTCTTTCTTGTGGGCTTCCTTTTCACTTTAATGGGAATCTGTTTCGCATATTATTTAAGAGTCTCTCATCAATGAAGTAGATGTGTCATAAGGATAATACTAACATTTGGAAGGTGATGTGCTGCTTTGTTCACTGTTGTGTCTATTGGAGGAACATCTTCACAGAATGGGCAGTTGGTCTATTCTCGAATTATGGTCAATATGGATTCCTGTTTTGTCTCAACTGTAGGGGCACCATTGAGTGGTTATGGTCCTTAGAGATTATTGCTTGATTGAGCATGGGCAGACTTTGTAAATGCTGTGTTTGTTGATGCTTCTCTTTCAACCTGTGGATGGTAGAAAGTAGGAGGAAAGAATACGGGGGAAAGAAAGGTTGAAGGGAAAGTGATGCTCTCCCATTTGGGAGAGCCCAGGAAAACGAGGAGAATGGATAATCAGGGGAAAGGGCTTGCCATTTCCTTCCACTTCAAACCTGAGGAGGAAGTGGAGAGAATGTATCCTAAATGTTCTCTGTGATTTTACATATATACCCTCAATTGAATTTTTATGTGCTTAAGTTCAAGGGTCTATGTGTAATTCTCTATCTGATTTTTTTTCTCTTCATTTTTCAACTAAATTAAATCAATTTCCCTTCAGTTACTTTCCAGAGTCTACTCATTTTCATTCAATTCAAAAACGAGAAGAGAAAATTACTTTCTTTCATTTTTGTTTTCATTGTCTCCCATTTTCCTTTTTCCTACTTTCTTCCCTCCCAAATGATGTGAGTCCTAATTTGGCTGATGTCGACTGTCATTGAGTGTTAAAAATTTGCTATCAAGCTATCAATGATGGTACACTTTGGAACTGCTGTACATTGATTTTTTTTGGTAGGGTTGAATTGTCTTTGTGTTTGGTTGAAGGCTTTATGTAGAACAAAGAACTCGCTCTTCAGTTCTCATTGTCAGACAATCAAGTAATTAATTAACAACAGAATTCAACATTTGTAAAATTAAGAAGAAATTAAAGGAAAAAAGGAATTTCTTAATTCAATCAGTCTCTTTCTCTGTACTTATTTGATTATGATGAATCATGCATTTTATGTTTATACCATGAGACAATCGACAAGGAAAGACCATATGAATGTTGAGACAAATCAAATATGCATATGCTTTTATATGATCATGATCAGTCAAAAAGTTTGTTACCGTATGCATAAAGGTGACAGAATATAGAGTGAGGTACAAGCAAATAAGCAATAACTTTTATAAAAAGGTTTGATATATGTGCAAAAATTAGATTCTTTAAAGACATGGCACTCAAGATTTTAAACTTTTCAATATTTACTTTAAATCTGGAATCTAGCTACAACTCATTTTGTCAAAATTGAAGATAATTTATGTTGTACTCTTCTATGTTGCTTGCTCACTGTTTTATGTTTATCATCGTGGTATATCTGTACTCAGCTTTTGTGGTATACTTTGCAGAAGTCTGTTGACGTGCAAAATGAAATGAATGCTTTTTTAAAACTTTTCCTGTGTTGTGTTGAACAGAAAAGGGAGGCTCCACCTGGTGAGAAACCAGAACCAGTTAGGACTCACCTTCGCAACATGATCATAGTACCTGAAATGATTGGCAGTGTCATCGGTGTTTACAATGGCAAAACTTTTAACCAAGTTGAAATCAAGCCTGAAATGATAAGCCATTATCTAGCTGAGTTCTCGATCTCCTACAAGCCTGTTAAGCATGGAAGACCTGGTATCGGTGCTACCCACTCTTCTAGGTTTATTCCCCTCAAGTGAAGAAGATTATGCGCATGTAGTAGCTCTGTTGTTTGGGGTCATGGACGTGGTTTTTGTTTACCCTGGTTTTTAATTTAGTTGTTTTAAATTCAACTGCTTGTCTTTGAAAAATATCTTCTCAATTTTGAACAAGTTGTCTTGTTTTATTTCAACTTATATTATTATGCTGAAGAGGCTGAAACTCTTGTTTTCATGATTTTATTTTGCTTATATTTTAGATAAAAGGAAAAAATGCCTTTGCTAGGTGCTTCCCCATAACAAGGAGAGAACCGTTATAGTATTTGCTGAGGGTATCATGTTCAACCTGGAAGATTTTAACAGAGAAAGGTTGGTGATACTCTTTGCATCTTACGCTACAACCTAGGACGTTTCTATTTTTTCACTTTAGATGGGAAAAATGAAAAAAAAGAGTTCTACGACTCAAAATAAGCCCATTTGTGTACTGCGAGTCTGTGGATTCGTCATCTGCTGTTTGGCTACCTGTGACTCTGTGAGCTATAATTTAACTCCGTAACTCCGGGGTTGGGTGGGATGAAGTTTTCATTCCTTCATTTACTGTGTTTGGTGACTTGTGATGTTGCTAGGAATGGGAATAAAATCAGCCCGAACATCTAAAAGAAAGATCCCTAAAATCACAATTCACATTCCTATTCCAGAACAGAAATGGAATTTCCCAGCAAGATATTTTTATGATGACCGGTGAGTTTTTTTTTTTTTTTCTGTTATTTTCTTTTCCAATATGAGGAAATCAAAGTTTGTAATCCGTATTATCAGGTTATTGTTTGTGTTTTCGTGTAATAATGAATCCCTGTAACCTTTAAAGTAAATTATAAAATAGTCTCCTTAGTTTTTCAAAAGAAATCAAGTAGTGCCTCTGGTTTTAGTAACTAATTAATTAGCTTTTATATTTTAAAGTATATTCATAACTCAATATTATTGTTCTTCTTAATTTTTTTATAAGAGAAAAAAATATGAAAGGAGCAGTGAAAAAGGAAGAAAACTTTTTAAAATAAAATAATATTAAATTAAATATAATCGACATTAATTAATTAAGAGATTAAATAATTAGCTTTTAAAATAAAAATAATTATGTAATTCGTTTTGAAAAATTAGAGAGATTAATTTATAATCTACCTCTAGCGGACCACAAGAATGTATACATAAAGGGAATAGTTATAGGGTCGATCTTCATAGCTAACAAGACCACTTCGATTATGAAGGAAAAAAAATCATTAATTATAAAATGCAATCTGCACTTATTTTTCACCATGAACTCATCGACAATCAACGTAACTGTTTCATTCTAGTTCATGTTTAAAGTTAGTAAAAAAGGTAACAGATGTTATAGGGAAAATAGAAGGTAGTGCTGATGGTCATTTCAATTTCTAGACATCATTTTTCATCCCAAGCATCAAACAACCAGCTTATTGTTTTAACTTTTATTCAAATAATTCTCATGATTTGAGTTTCAACAATCACCATTTTTTCAATTGAGTTAATTGATTAGACTGAGATAGAGAGGTTCGCTGGACTTCATGAAGTCTAATATTGGTAACAAATAAACAATGCTGGGCCCAAATGGGCCAATGAGAAGTCGATTGGTTAATTAGTTAATAAAACAGAAACAAATCGGTGAGTGGGTTGCTTGCTATGGGTACTTATTAGGTTAATCAACAAAGTTGAAATTATATTCTCTTTAAATTTACGAAATAATATAAGATTTATGATATATTAAGTACAGTTGTTTATATAGACACAAAGAATAAAAAAAATAGGAGATAAAATTTGAGTCGATGTCAAAAATTTTTATTATTTTTTATGGATCTGGATATGATTTTTTTCTCTTTTTTTTTTTTTTTTTAAATATACTTCTAATTATCCAATAATTGCCTTTGGAGTATTTTAAAATTTCCCGTGATTTTGTTATCTTTCAAGAGTATCAATTTACATGCATTGAAGAACCGCTTAATTTTGTTTCTCGAGGAGTTACCAGGCGACTGAAATCCGTAAAAAGAGTCCATTGTACCTGCAAATTGGGCTTACGTCGAGCCCAATAAACCAGACCTATCGCTCCAAATGTGGCCTGTTGAGCAGAGAGTAAAAACTAGCAGGAACTGTTTTCCTTTTTTTTTTTCTTTTTTTTCCTTGCTTTGATTTTTATAAACACCAACAGAGCTAGAATCTAATCATTTTATTTATTTATCAGTACTGTAATGGCAGTCAATTGAGTTAATGGAATTCAGGAATGAAATTCTTTTTTTGCCTGAAAAAGATAAGCCATGCTTAAACCTAAGTATTTAGTTATTTTGAGGTTTTTTTTTTTAAAAAAAATATCTTAACGCTATTATACATTATATTTTTTGTGAGACGTGAATAATCAGTTAGTAGAAAATATGATTCACTATATCAATTCTAGAAAAACGATTTAGCATGTGAATTTCCAGCATTTATTTACTGGAGATTCAGTTACGTAAACGTTCTGCCTTTTTTTTTAATAATCTCAGTGATGCAAAATAACATGGCGACGTGCAAGAATTTACCATGCCTCAATAGTTTTTTCAGAATAAAAGGGAACGGAAAAGAAAATTCATGTCGTGTTCTTGATTCAATCGTCGTAAATTCTCGACCGAGGTGATTGATATCTTGAAATAAGAAAAATGTATATGTTGTCATTGGTCAATAAAAGCACTGGTGGTGAGCAGTGAGAAGGCATTTATTTTTTTGAACAAAACAAAAACATATATCTCTATAATGCACGGAATTTCTTTCCAAGAAAAGAAGGCATTGATTTTCTTGAATTCAAAAAATTCATAAGACTAATCAACTATGAATTACCAATCATCAGAAGATTCCATGGTCGAAAACGGGATAATTTACTTTCTATTGAAGCTTTTTATTCAAAATTCTGAATTTTGATATGTGATGTGACTTGTATATGGTTTATAAAACAACAAACTCTAACCAAACAACCATATGAAATTATGTGATAAGATTTTCTCATTTAACGTTAATAGCTATGGGTTATTTTGTCAGAAGTTCTTTTTTTTTTTTTTTTTTTCCTAGTCTTAAGTCAAAATCTGTTAGTTTTGATGAAACTTCTAAGGGATGATCTCGGAGATTATATTTATATTAAAGAATATATTGACTGCTATTAAACATTGAAAACTATATGGATTAAAAGTAGTTAAGAATATTCATTATTGTTTTATTTGTCTTAATCATGTTTATCTACTAATTTTTTTAATAATTATGTTTCTTTATCCTTAATTTGTATCTTAATTTCATCCATATAGTCAAATTTTTCGAAAACAATATTAATTTTCAGCGATAAACTCACAGGAGACTCATACGTGGTATTTAAAAAAAAAAATCCAAAATATCCTTATTTTTCTCAATCATTATGTATAAAAATAAATAATTAATTTCATCTCTTAATTTTTTTCCTCTCAAATTCAAATAAAAAAACGTGTAAAAAAGAAAATAAGCCAATTTTTTTTTCAAAATTTTATTATGAAAAATTATTTTAAAACCAACTCTAAAAGAAAAATTTGTGAATTTTTTTCATAACATAAGAATAAAAAAAAAAAAACAGATAAAAAGAATGGCATCAGAATATATTGACTGCAGTTAAACATGGAAAGATATATTAGAGAAAAGGCTTAAAATATTTATATAAACATATAGTATTTAGCTTAACAAAGTTTGCTCCGAAACAAGATTAAGCATTGGCGTGGTTTGTTTTGTGAAAACGTGTCGACAGCCCATGGCCACTCCCTGCTTTCGAAGACGTCATTTGTATTCTTGCAGTATACGCCTATGGCTCGATCTGCCTGTGGCGGGCTATTATCATGGACATCAAAAACATCCTAGCTAGGCTTATCTCAGCTGACCACTCGGCTTTATAAATGTTGTCAGGTTAGGAGACAGTTCGTGGGCCCCAGCTAAACTGCAGGTTTTGGGGGGGTCAAACCTAACCTCCACAGACCAGCTACACGTGCACCCAGGCCATTCATTACCTCCCGGTTCATAAAAACTCCAGCATTTGACTTGAACAGAACCAAGAAGGAGAATTTGGTTTCTTTAATACAAGCGTTGTGATGGATTTTCTATGCTCGTTATCCCTTTTTTTTTTTTTTTTTTTTTTATAACTCGATTTTGCACGTCGGTTGGAGTATTTTTGAATGGAAAAATAGTGGTGTTTTCTTATTAATTCAGGCGCGGGCTTGGCTTGGCTATCATTAGGATTTACTTATAGAATTGACCTTTTGGTTCTATATTATGTTTATCATGCATGTGTTTTCCATATAAAGTAATATTCTTTAGTAAAACGATGGACACTGCAATTATAGCAAGAAAAATGAAAGGGGAAAATTCGAAATTTTCCATGAGGCTTTGCTTCACCAGTAACCATCTGGTTAGACGAATCTAGCTTTATATGAACACAGCAACTTCCCCTCCAACTGGACCGCACCCTTCTGCTCAACCTCACCTAATAGCATCATAGCTATAACAAAAGAGGAAAGCGTTTATAGCTGTTCCTAGCCTGCAGAGGTTCATAGATCGCATTAAGTTGGCGTTAATTATGATTATTTCTTCTCATTTTGAGAAACGAATTCATTAGTTTTTTTTAATTAATTAGTTAATCTTTTTGTCTATTTTTTATATTATTTTTAATTTGTTTTGTTTAAAACAAATTTGAAAAGGATAAAAATAAATAAACATTATAGAAAAAATTGATGGTTAATTAGGTTTTTTTTTTGAAGTTCTTTTCTTTCTTTATTTAAGTGATCCATTTACTATGCTTTTTTTTCCTCCTTAAAATAAAATATTTTTAAATCTTATTTTTTCTTATAAGCTACTTTCAATCTTATTCATCAAAACAATGTGTTTTATGCTGTCTAGGCTAGACCTAAAGCATAAATATAAACATGTTATTTTTAATTTTTTTAAAAAAAGAATCAGCATGAAAAAAATATGGGTTAATTAGTTCGATAATATCATATATTATCTATCAAATGTAAACTTATATCTCAATTTCAATTTTCTTAGTTTGAATATTATAATTATTTTTTAATTTATAATCAAATTAATTGATTATGTTAATCAAATCACGAGTATGTTTTTTTTTTTTTATTATGATACTGACATGGCTCAATAATTAAAAGAATGGCGTGCTGTTTTTATTTCGGACGAACATGATCTATGAAATTACAAATTATCCCACTCTTAAATTAAATTTTTTTAATTAAACCTCTCGTTTGTTCCCTGTCTCTACCCCACCCTACCCCTCACCACCCTCCCCCCTCCCCCCTCCTTCCACCACCACCAGCACCTAACACAAGGTCATTTTGGTGATAGAGAAGGAGCAGAGGGTTAGTGATCATGTGGGTTTTGGTGATCAAGGAGTTCATGGCGGATGATCTATCTCTGTAGGCCAACCGAGAAGAAGTACAACCTAGCTGTTACTGTCGCCATGGGGAAGTTCATGGATGCAGTCGTGGTTGAGGATGAAAACACTGGGAAAGAGTGCATCAAGGTATACTCGTTTTATTTGTAAAGTTCCTATTTTTGCTCTATCATGTTTTCTAATTCTGGTTATTAATATCTGCACCTTTTAACTTGCATTATTTCATCTATGCCTTTTAAAAAGTTCTGCTATTGGTCTCTTGATATTAGCCAAAGTTTATCAATTTTTTCTTAATTTTCTTGCAGTTTCTGCAAGCGATTCAAATGGCAGAAAAAACAGAGAAATCTCCACTTAAGAACTTGTTCTCTGATGTCTACGATATTCCACCAGCAAATCTTCGCGAGCAAGAGAAAGAGATTGTTTGTGGGTTTATTAAGCGTGATAGAGAATTTTGATATTTTTGTAATTTCAGCGATGGATGAGTATTATTGTTGTAAAAAAGCATTTTGATCATTGAAGAGACGAGAGAACTGGAGATTGGAAAAAAATAAAATGAAGTCTGGTATTTTAATTTAGATATGGATTTTTTTAGTAATTTTATAATAAGTGTCTGTCACGTGTGTGTTAGCGATTTGGTCAATGAAATTGGCCTACTTGATTACAAATAATGATATTCAAATTGAAAAAATTGAAGTTACGATATCAGTCCACGAATTGACCAATAGTAAATGGTATTATGAGCCATTTAGACTAAAATAAATCCATCAAACATTTAATGCCATAATAAGTACTTTCTCCAAAAAGATGACAATGGTTTTGATTTGTGTTATCATGTGTATTCTTATCTAATCGTACTTTCATTGACATTTTAGACCAGAGCGGTAACAATAATAATAATTTATATAACAAAACAAATCTCAAAAGGCCAATTAATGGAGGCTCCAAAGCTAGAGAAATTCAGATAGGCAACCTAATAATCTTGTACGGGTTCGAAGCTAAATTTTATTTTTATTTTATTGTAATTTGATAATTTTGAAACCATAGTATCACATTTAAACTGACTATTATTTGAAATATCAAAATAACATCGCTTAGGCATTTCACTCGTTAATTATATATTTTTTAAAAAATATTTTTCACTCTCCTAATCTTGAATTTTTTTAAAAAAACTTTTTCTTCTTATAAAATATTATAAATTATATAAAAAAAACATTTTATAAATATTTTCAATCTCCTAATTTTATTTTAAATATTATTATAAAAAAACATAATGAACAATAGACAATTTCAAACCTTTAAAAAATATTATATAAATTAAAGTTAGCATAACTAGGGGTTGACCCTCCTAATTTTATAAATTATATATAAAAAAGTGAGAAAAAATGTTCAAAATTAGGGGTTTAAAATTATTGATAAATGTTTTTTATACAATTCATAAAGTGTCGAAAAAAGTTCAACATTAGAGGTTAAAAATATTTTAAAAAAACATAATAAATTGTGGAATGTCAAAAGATATAATTTTAGTATTTCAAGTAATGATAAATAACGAAAATTGGACAATTTAAATCGTATTTACTCGATCTTTAATATTTTAAAATTCATAAAAGAGCTTGTAACCTAATAATAGTAGTCTCTTCTAGTAAGAGGTTACGTATTCAAATCCTAATATATTCAAATTACACGATTTGATATTATAAATTTAAAATTATGAAATTACAATAGAATGAAGATAAAATTTATCATTAAACCACCTTTTATGGGAAGGCTTTGAAGCCATTTCTTCTATATAGCATCTAAAAACGACTGAATAGTTGTAAAATTGAATAGAATTTCATATGGGTTACTTATTGATTTTAAAAGATAACCAATATTCAGGCATTGATTATCACAAACCATTTCATTTTTTAAAACTTAGCACTAAGTTAAACTAAATAAATATCCCCTCCTTCGCTTCTTTACGTTTTTCTTGTGAGTTGTTAGTGAAGGGCCCAAAAATGCCGCACCATAGTCCACACCGCTCAATACAGTGGAGCCATATCAATTCCTATGCACGTGAGAATCACACGAGGGAGAACATGGCTTGGCTTCTCAGCCTATACGCTAAGTCATTACTAACATTCTTCACCTGCCTATTTAAATTAAATAAAAAATAATTGAAAACCCACTAATTACCAAACAAAATAATACTAAACCAAAATCTCAAAGCTGTCGGCGTGAACCGAGACTGTCTCCTCCCCTATAAACACGCTCCCAAAAGGCCAAAAAAAAACAACAAAAAACCTTTAACCTCTTCACTTTCTCCTCAGACAAAAGACCGTATTATCCAACAAATCCACAGCACACAGTAAAATAACAACAATGGCGGTGGACGCGTTGCGCCATCGCAACGACGCTGTCACAACAACCCTCTCCCTTGCCAGATCTTCAGCTCCCCCTCTCCAGCGGCGAAGAATGAACCTCAACGCCATTTCAGAGGCGTGAGGAAGAGGCCGTGGGGTCGATTTGCTGCGGAGATTCGCGATCCATGGAAGAAGACGCGGCGTTGGCTTGGCACTTTTGACACTGCGGAGGAGGCGGCACTTGCTTATGACGAGGCAGCTCGATCTCTCCGTGGGCCAAAGGCAAGGACAAACTTCGTTCAGAACGATCATTTTGCTCCCGTGCCATTTTCGCAAACTGCGGTGGTTGGTGCAGCTGGTTTTGAGATGTGGTGCTCGCCGGTTTGTTTTGCTGGTGAGGTGGCAAGAATGGCGGTGCCAGCTGCTGCGATGAGGTCAGAGTATATGGGGTACAAGATGGAGAATGTGAATGAAAACGTGGGTTTGGTTTTAAATGAAGAGAAGTTGAGTGGAAGGAAAAGGCCGTTTTTGTTTGATTTGAACTTGCCGGCACCGCTCTTTTGAGTGGCTTGGGATGGTGGTGGTTTTATGGATGTGGTTGAGAGGAGGAAGTTGTTGACTGGTCATATTTAGTTTGCAGAATTCTGGGCCTTGTGTTTTGGTTTGGTTAGGTTATCCGTTCAATCATGTACAGTTTTGGTTTAGATGGAGTTTTTGGTATGGGTTAACGTGAAGTTAATGGTGGGATTTATACAAGCCAAGGAGGATTCTGGTTTTTTTTTTTTTTTTTGGGTAGCATTTCAAATGAGGAAGCTTTTCTGGAATCTAAAATCTTTCTTTTGATGAATTCATGAATCATTTTGATTTTATTGCCAGTACATGTGTGTGTGTGTGTGTTTTTTTTTCGGTGCATTGAAAAAGAACAAGAACTTGGCTCCTAGTTGTAAATGAGAAATTGTCATTCTTATTCTCAATGTCTGCAATTTGTAAAAGAACAAAAACACCGTCTTGTCGTAGAGATACCAGTTGCAAGATGGACCAGCGGCGGTGATGAAATCCTTGTTGACCTGCGGTGTGTATATTCCAACTTTGATTTTTATTTCTACTTGACTAGTAGAGCCGTGCAGGCTATTATTCTTGCTATGACTATATCCTCCAGCAATCTGTGCCCTCAAGAAGAAATCCTACGTCCCTCCTTCCTTTCTTTTACCCTCCTTTCACATCTATCTGAGATGTAACTGTTTAATGGCGTTTTTTACGTTTCAACTATTGGGATTATGACACATTCAGAAATTAATTTATTATCAATTTAGTCACTTTTTATCTTTAATTATTATTATTTTATATATATATATATATATTGGTCTTTTGATCTGATAGTTGTTATTTACAAAAAAAATCTCATTTAAAAATTTTAACTTTTAATATTTTGACCTATAAGCAAATCATATAATTTACATATATAATTTTATTATAATTCTCAAAGTTCAAAATTAACATGTTTTCATCTTAATTAGGTAATACGTATCCAACCGATTAAGCAAATACATTTATGTGATTTTTTAAGGCTTCCAATAAAATTTGGAATCATTTCAATTTTTTTTTCAATTTTGTTAATAATTAGTATTTAAGAAAAAATTAAAAAAGCTTATTGACCAGAAAATTTTTGAAATTATTTTTAAAAATATCAATTCTTATTAACATGTGTAAATTTTCAACTTAAAATATCAAAAATTAAATTTTTTTAGAAGTTTTTGGTTAATGATAATGATCAAATCAAACGAAAAAACTATTTATCCAAAAAATGATAATAAATACCAAAATTGATAAAATAAACAGTGCAAGCCTCAACATGCCACAAGCTCATACTTCATGAGTAAAAAATACTATTAAATCATATTAAATAATATTAAAACCTCAAACCCTCCATGTTAACAACGTTGAAAAGATGAGGATAAAGGAGTTCGAGCTCTCTTCCGTATTTAATTTTTGGAAGAAGATCCTCAAAAGCTGATTCTACATATCAAACTAACTGAAATTCATGCTTTGCCATATGAGATAAAGGAAGAAGAATTCGTGTCATCGAAAACATTTCTCCGGTTATTTATAGTATAAAATGAGTCAATCATCCATTTGATATTTTGATTCCGATAACCACTTAGCAATCTCAGATTAGACCAATTTATTATCTCAGCCAAAAAGAGTTTTGAATTCGTAACCTGGCGGCAGGCCAATCAGTGCGTAACAAAGACGTTTGGAACGAAGATGTATTTTGTTAGTGCACTTGCAGCAAGTGAGATGAGAATCCTCCAGTTTGAGATTCCGTCCGTTTCAAAATACAATGTGACCACTCAATCTCATTTTCCTCAGGACAGTTTATCAGCCAATTGGAATAGGATGAAGCTGGTCTGAATACTAATGAAAAAGACTAATTATTCCTTTGTTCAGTTGTTCTGTTTTTACGCGGGAGTCAACGGTCAAATATTAGAAAAAATAAAAACTGTGTAGAAAACAGGAGGTGAAAATAAGGGGGTCCAACCGTTCTTCAGATGGGTGGGTACGACTACGAGGCAGAAAGATGTGGGTTGGACTAATTAATAAAACGGACGAGCTGGGCCACGCTCTTTCTAGTAGTATAATAGTTCAACTCCAACCAGGCAGCACGCAAAATGAAAAGCGTCTGTTCCTTTTCTTTCTGACTTTTTTGACTACCACTTAGTTTTCTAATTTATCTCTCGCTACTGGCTACTCCTGCTGCTGCTGAAAAAACTGATGGGTTTGGTTGCTTCTCGCCAGTCTATCGCTGCTTTTTGACTCCACTGGTTTTCTTATTCTCTTACGTTATCCAAGCTCTTGGTTTACGAGTCACTCTATTGTTCAACTTTAAAAAGGCCCAACTTTGTCGTTCTTTTCTTTGTCTTCTACCGATATCAATTATAAGGCGTTGCCGCGTTAGGTCTTCCTTTTTGGTGCGTGGTAACTAGAAAGGCTGCAAAAAAAAAAAAAAAAAAAAAAAAAAGAGGCTAACCACCCCACTTTTCTATTTGAAAATTAATTTCTCATTTTTTTATATTAAGTCTATTTTCCAGTTTTTGTCAATAATGATAAAAATTATAATTACATTAATATTTTTATAATAAAAAATTTTTAGTGAAATTTATTTAGAGTTCTCTAAAAAAATTGAAATAATTCTGAATTATTATTTATTTTTTATCTTTTTAATGTTTAAAAATAAAAAATATATAATTTCTGATTTTTTAAAATTCTAATTTTTTATTTAAAAATAGATGGAATTTTTCTTAACGTATATATAAAATTTCATATTAAAATATTAAGAATTGAATTTTTAGGAGGAAGGTGACAGTTTAAAAACTAAATGATAGATTAAATTAAAAAAATTAAAAATATCAAAGTACAAATAAAAAAATTAAAAGCTAATTTTTTAATGAATTAAAATTTAGAAAAATTTACCTCTTTTAGCTAATTAGCATTTAGCACAATGGATTATCATTCCCAAGTGTCAGAACACATTTTAATCCAACCAAAATACTTTTCAAGAAATTTTATATTACTCGTACAGTAATTAATATAAATTATTTCATAAGAAAGACATAAATACAAAAAAGGAGTAAAATGAAAGAGAAAAAATGAATATAAATGAATTTTTTTATCAGTTTTTGTGATTTCGAATATAATTTTTTTTTTAATAAAATAATAAAATAGCTATCATGTATGTTTAATATTTATTTATTTTTAGTATTTTAAAATTTATCGTACCTTTCTAATAACAACGTGGATTTCCCCCCAAAAGGTGGAGGAACTAAGGGATAATTTAAAGTATCGAATTCTTTCAGGAATTTTTTGTTATTAGTATTATTCTTTCTTTTTTTAATTTTCCCAACAACTACGCCGCATTGCATAATAAAAGTAGCCTTTCACATGCGTGTGCACTCGGCATTTCATTTTAATGAGTAAAAAAAAAAAAAAAGCCATGCGAACAAAGTAGCAATAAATAAGTTCTCCCATACACCAAGATATTGTAGCACGTAGAGATAAATAGTTGTGGACGAGCTAAAGTTAGTTTTCATTGCATGTAAGGTTGTCAAAAGATTTGGATTCCGATCATATTATAGTAAATTTAAATCCAATTTATTTAATAAAATAAATTGTATCAAATTTTATGAATTCGAATCTTAATAGACTTGGATCGAATTCAAAATTGTATCGAATTTATTATTTAGTTTTTATAAAAATTCATCCTTACTACTTTTAATAAATTACTTTAATATAAAATATATTTCAACTATTGCATATATAATAAAATATATTAAGATATTATTTTATTTATTAATTTTGTAAAAAATTCAAAACGATACACAATTCAAAACTATAAAATTAAATAATTTCAATAAAAGTTTTTTTTAAAAAACTAGATAGTAAGCATGATAAAATAAATAAATAATAAATAATCTTTATTTTTTATTCACATTATAGCAAAAATAGAGTGATCACAAATACAATAACATCAATTCTTAAAAAGGTATTTAATTCAATCTATGAATTTTTTTTGTACGAAATTAAATTTAAAAAATGAAAAAAATTATATATATTGAGATCATAAAAAAAATTATACATACACTATAAAATTATTATTTTTAATTTTTGATCATATTATTATCAATTCAGATCAAAATAAATCCAAATTTAATCAATTTAATAAAAAAAATAATATATTGAGATCATAATTGGACTAGATGAAAAAAAATATTTATTAAATCCATTTAATTATACCATATTTGGATTGAATTCGAGTCATCTGATTTATTTACTGGCCTACTTGAATGCTTTTACTGTTAAAGAAGAGAAGAAATGGACCAACTCAACCGTTTGACCAGAAAGGCCCAGGCCAGGATACTAAATAACGGGCGGCTTAGGCCCACTCATCGTTATCTATAGCATAGGGTTGCAATCAAATCTGCACGGGTGGCTCAGCGGGAGAAGACTTGGACGAGAATCTACTCGGCCACTGTGATAGTCTCCCCTTTTACACCGAAGAAAAAATCTCCCTCCTTTTTTGTTTTAATCGACAATGACATCGAGCTGACTATTTGCATATTCGATGTTAATTACTATTACTATTACTATTATTACTAAAAAAAACTAAAAGATCTGAGGTTATCACTGTCTATTTACTGTGGCCTTTTTTTTTCTTCTCCTGGCCGTTCTTTTTTTCCCTTATATTTGTATTATAGGAAGGCAAAAATGAGAGGCCAGGCTCGCGCCTGGTTGCCCTATGCGAGCCTGCCCTCTCCTGGCCTCTTTTTTATTTTGCTTCATATATGTGTGTGTATTACTATAGTAATTTTTTTTTTTTTTTTTTTTGGCTTGGCTGCTCCTGGCCCCATATATATATATGTGTGTGTGTGTGAAATATAAAAAATAAATCGTTATTTTTTTTAGCTTTACGTATAATTTGAAAATAATAAATATATATCATATTTTTAAAAAATTTAAGTTTGAATATATATATATTTGATTATATTACTCTTATTGTTTAAAATTTATTTATTTATTTATTTTAATTCTCATCAAATTAATTTTTTGATATATTTTTATTTATTAATAAATTTGTGTTTTTAATATATGAATTTTGGAATAAAATTTTAGGAAGTCAATGTTTTATTTTTAAAAAATATATTATTATACTTTATACAATAAATTATTTTTATGCTTTTTAAATGAGTGTTTTATTTTTTAAAATATGTTATTATAATTTATAAATTATGATTATATATATATACAGGGAGAGAGAGAGAGAGAGAGTATATTTTAGATAGTTTGCCTCATATTTTTTTTAAAAAAATTAATAATCAATTAAAAAAATTCACAAGTTTTATTTTTTATTTATATATTTATTCAGAATTTATTAGAATCAATTTTGTTGTAGTTTTTATTTTAATTATTGACTTCAATATATTTTATACAATTTAGTGAGCTTGACCCTTTTTTTTTGGTGTTTTTTTTTCTTCACACACACACACACACACACATATAAATATTATCATGAAATTAGGTGTGAAAAATATAAAAAATATTTTTTTTTTTTTAGTTTTACGTATAATTTGAAGATGATAGAATATGTATGATATTTTTTTAGCTTTTAGTTTGAACATATATATCTAATTATATTACTCTTATTGTTTAAATTTTATTTCTTTAATTATTTGTTTCTTATTAAAATTCTAAACAAATTAATTTTTTGATATAATTTTATTTGTTAATAATTTTTTTAATATACGAATTTTGGAATAAAATTTTAGAACGCCGATGTTTTATTTTTTAAAATATATTATTATAATTTATATAATAAATTATTTTTATTCTTTTTAAATGAGTGTTTTATTTTTTTAAATATTTTACTATGATTTATAAATTCTGATTATATATATATATATATAGAGAGAGAGAGAGAGAGAGAGAGAGCTTTTTAGATATTTTGACTCAATTTTTTTTAAAAAAATTAATAATCAATTAAAAAATTATAAGTTTTATTTGCTTTTTTATATATATTTATTCAGAATTTAGCAAAACCAATTTTGTTGCGGTTTTTTATTTTAATCTATTGACTTCAATATATTTCATACAACTTCGGTTTATTTTTTTCGTATATTTTTCTATTTATTCTATATACTCTGCTTTTTTATATATATTTGTTCGAATTTATCGAACTAATTTTGTTGTATTTTTTATTTTAATCTATTGACTTCGATATATTTCATACCATTTGGGTGGATTTTTTTTTGGTATATTTTTCTATTTATTCTATATACTTTGAATTTGTTATATATGTATATATATTCATTGGTTTTATTAGAAATTAACTATATATTTGCACATATAATATCAATTATTTGTTATTTTTTTTATATTCTAATTTTTTTTAAATAAAACAAGTTAGATAATATTTTGAAAAAAACCTACTAATTATTCAAATATAAATTTTTATGCTAATATTATTAAATATTTTTGTTAATAAATATATATAAATCATACGACTTTGTTCAATATATAGATTCAATTTATATTAATCACCAAAAATATACTATACGAATCGTTAATTTTATATATGTAACGGTTATTTCGCCGCATCGTAACGTTGGTATCTTACTAGTTTCACCTACATCAAATGGTATGGGCCCAAGGTTGTCTATCGTGGTTGAAAAAAAAAAAAAAATTGTTGCAGCAACATTATCCAATTGATTTCCCCAGAAAGAATATCTATATCCAGTCATCCACTTACTTATTTAACAAAAATAAATAAATAAAGGTCATCCCATACTTGTATGAAAAAGGAAAAAGGCAGAAAAAGATTTTATTTCACCAAAATTAGAAAAGAAGAGAGTGTATATATAGTCAAACTTGAAAATTACAGTAAAAGCAAATTCATTACAAGTTGAAGATTTTGTTCGTGGGTGGGAAACGATCTTCATACCAAAAAAGATTAAGAAAGGCTACTTGTCAATAAAAATTTAGCAGTAGTATTTTAGATGGCTGATTCGTTTTAAGTAATCATTAAATTGCCTATAAGATATTTTCCCTTATAAGTCATTTCCCAACTACAACAAACCCATATTAGCATCTAGTCAAGATCCCATTTTACTTTTGTTCCACAAACCACAAGGCATTATGCTTCAACAACAATAATGAATTATTTTGAGACATGAGCGTAACCTTATTCAACCCAGGTGACAATAATAATTATAATGACTTGCACTAGCAATTGATTGACTAATTCCTCATTTTATAAGAATATCCTTTCCTTCTCAACAATACATCAGCCCCACTACTACAACACCTCAACTCAATATGGACCTTCGACCAATCCAATTCTTGCATGTATTCTATTTTCCCTTTTGATGTCGTGTTATTATTGTTTATTTATGGGACCATGTTTTCTGATGAGGTTGTATGACTCTACAGCGTTTACCAACTTAGGCCAACAGGTGGTCAGAGGGAATGTTTTGCTCTTGCTGATTTCCAAGATTTGGAATTTGTCCTAGGAAATAAATGCCAGCGGAGGTCCAATAATATAGCGATAGATCTATATAGCATGATAGCTCATGTTGGTCCCTTTATATGTCACAACTCACATGCCTTGCTGCACAATACTCCCTTTAGAAATTTGGATCACTTGAATAATTCCCTCATAACAGAGAAGGAAAGGTAAGGTTGGTGGACTGATTTTTTTTTTTTAATATATAATTCAGGATAAATGGTAGTATGAATGAAAGTACAGATGCAGATTCGGAAAATGCCAGATCTTTAAGCTCAAGCCACCAAAACTAGGACTAAGATCACAAAAACAAGAAACAAGTGAGTCAAATGCAGAAGACTTTTCCATGCTGTTAAACCAGAACAGAAGTTTTTATGATTATTGGTTGCGAGACTTGGTTGCATGTCGCTTCATATTTTAGACAGCCCATTTTTGACTTTCAATTACCGAACTAAACAAGAAAAGGAAAATGATTCCACGACTAATTATTCAAGAACCAGGAACAAGATTAAATTAGAATTCCCACGTACATTCATTGTTAGTTCCTTGCATTCTTGTCCAATGTATCTTGCAATAGGCATATGATAAGCATCATTCGATAGCCATTGTTCGTGGAATACCATGTCATGATGGGTCCACGCAAACACGTAACAAAGTCATCTCATCTGCCCAGGAACCCCACAAGCACTATAAACCAACGACTAATCATTCAAATGCATAAAAGAAGCTTATCAGAAATTAAGTCAAATCGGAAAGAAAATCACATCAATTGAGCCATTTCAACAACCCAAGGAAAAAAAAACACTTCTTTCGAACTGTTTAAAGCCGTTGGTTGCAAATCAAAGAGTTCTTACAATTTGAAACCCAATTCTACATTTTTCTTAGATCAGTGCCAGGCTTGAAGCCTGCCTGCCAAATTACTAAAAAAGCTTTGGAAAGCCAACTCCCCAAAGCCCCCCAAAAAAAACACCTGCTCCAACTATATCCCAAGGTTGAACCATGCTAAATATGTACAGGAGCCATTCATAAATAAGTTTTCCTTGAACAGTAAGAAACTTGAAAGTATGGCATGAGGTTTATGTGTTTGCGGATTGTGCTGGAATCCTCGGGTGGTTATGTTCACCTTCATAGGTAACAATAAGCATAGATGGATCTTCCAAGCACCTCTCCACGTGCTTCCTTGCAGGACAACCTCTCATACTGCTACATTTGTAATATCCCCTGCACAAGTTCAAGAGGGAGTTCTCAGTCTGAACAAGTTTCTCAAAAAGCCAGCATTGGAGCATATGCAGTTCCTAAAAATAAAGACACTTAAATTGAAGCTACAATCATTGTTTGTCACCAATGTGAAAAAGATAACTGGTAGTACAGGCATGTCTCGTTCTGGAAAAAAAATCTTACAACCATTCCAGGGGTGACTGAATTGTAAACAAAGATAGATGAACACAATCATGGGATGACTGAAAGCAACTTCCTCCGACACGCTATAAGCAACCTCCTCCGACACGCTATAAGCAACCAACAAAAGGCACAAGTGAAAAAATAATACAAATTGACAACGCACTCAAGCCGACCCATCCACCGATTTTGTTCAAGGTTTTTCACCGTGAAAACAAAGCTTGTACTCAGTTCTGTTTCATTGGAGACTACTTCACACATACCCCACAACCAAAAGGTTGCAATTAGCACATCATACACAATCGGATGAACAATAAATATGCTGTAATATTTTCTAATCTATATGGGAGCAATATATTTTAGATCACACATGCACACTACGTAACCGCGTATGGATTGAATGTCAGCAAATAAGCAAAAACATAAGTTCATTTAATAGGAAGTTCGAAGAATTTCCATAATCACAATTACATTCAATGAGAACTTGTATGAATTACTTGCCGTAAAACTATGTTTGAGAAATTGAATAACTGAGCATACCTGGGATGAGGAGAACCCTTGATCGGTTTTTGCCCATACTTTCTCCACGAATAATCATCAGGAGGGATGTCAGCAAGCTTGTTGCTAATAGCAGGTACCTTGATCGACCTCTTCACCCTATGTTTCCTGTCATTACAGCACAAACAATGAAGAAAAAAAGCGTTAAAACAAGCCTAAGATCAACATAAAAGGAAACAGGCACGGTTTTGAACTATTAATTGCTAACAGCAAAATAATTAAACAGACAACAAAGGAAGGAAATAAATCTAACCTCTTCTTTGAACAATGGCATCTACCACTGCTTCCGCATTTCACACTTCCATCATCTCCCCTTACAGAGCATTTCCTCTTGTGTTGCTGTGAACTCTGATCCGAGGAGCGAGCCGGCCCCATTAAATGGAATGAACTTCCTTCCAAATTAGCCACACTACCATCTATACTCAAGGAAGATATGAAAGATCTAGTGGATGACATTGTAGGTGTGCAGCTAGAACTATCAAAATTCAAGCTTATACCACTATTGCTCTTTCTAAACATCATCTCAGCTTGCTGCTTCATTTGCTGCTGCTGCTGCTGATGCTGTAGCCTATGAAGTTGAAGCAACTGAAAATGTGTTGCTGGAGTGGGTTGGCCAAGCTGAAGAGGGTTTTTCCCATTTGAACTCAATTCCAAAGATGGGGTTCCCAGAGATAGACAATTCTTAGCACTTGAGCCCAATTCTTGAATTGGTTGGCTTTCCAGGTAACTACTAGACTGGAGAAACTGAGGTGTTTTGTATGAGCAGTCTGTTCTATTCAGTGGGTTATCTAAAAGGAGGCTTTGGGATAAAGGGGTTGGTAACTTCTTAAGTTTCCGAACTCTTGCATGACCTAAACCAGTATTTAGAAGAGAAACAACTTTCTTGAACCTAAACACAGCCTCTCCAGTTTCCACCATTAAATTCCTATATTGAACCTGATCCTGAGGTTGAGATAACAAACTTAAAACTCTATGGCAGCTCTCCACAGCTGCCCTGTTAGCTTCTTCGACTCCCTCCATATTACCACCAAAACACTCCACCAATCTTAATCAGTCAAAACTCAAGGCAGGGGACCAAAAAAAAAAAAACATAAAAACTCCAAAAGTCTAAAAACCTAGTTCAGTATTAGATCTTCAGGAAAAAAAAATTAAAGACCCGAATGCTCATTCTCGTGTAAACCTAGCAAAAAAGCCACAAAAGGGATAAGCTTTTAGTCCGAAAATTCCAAGAAATTCAGCTTCTTAAAGGCTTAATCTTTCAGATTCAACAGGGTTGACTGAAAAGAAGGAAACAAACCCAAAATAAGAGCAAAACATAAGACTTTGCCTTGTTATTTCATTAGAGCAAACAATGATCAAGATTTTGAGTGAAAGAAAGCACCAAGGAAACAGACCTTGCTGGGGTGTGAAGCCCTAGATTCTGCCTCCATGGCTTTGAGATTGAAAGATGTGAATGAGAAGACTTTGCTTTGCCTTTGTTGCTTTAGAATTCACACACAGCCCATAAGAATACAAACTCCCTTCTTTAATTTAATCTATTGCTACTACTAGTAGCCTCCTTTTCTCTCTCTCTCTTTTTTTTCAATAATCTTTTTCTACATGAAGAGAGAAAAATGAGATAGAAATGAGAGAGCATTTAAATAAGAAAGTGCAAAGAGGGAGGGGCTTGAGAAATGAAACTGCCGTCTCTGTCACAGATTTGAAGGTGGGTCCCAGACCAAAGACCTTGGTTTCATTCTCTTTTCTTCGATTCAATTCGGCGACCATTTTTTATTATTATTATTTTTACTACATTATATTACAATAAAATCTCCGCTTCAGCTTTGCTACTTCCAGACATCCTATGTTTCTTGTTTTTTTTTTTTTCCCCTATCTTTCTCTTTACTTACTGTAAATATCTTTGCTAATTGATTGTAATGGGAACTCTTGCCATGCATGGCTGCTAAAATTTGAAGTTCCTGCTCTTGCCAGGCCAACTATTGCCAAAAATAATAAAAAAGTTAAATAAGATTAGCAATTTGTATTTCCTTTTTTTGAAATCCAAAGTGTTTTGGCATTGTTAACATCCATCGAGGATTTAATCAAAATTTCAGAACAAATATATTAATTAAATCACGAGATGAACGGTTACTCCCAAAATATATTTATATTATATATATGTTCATTATGAATATAGAAAAAAAATCAAAATATTCTCATAATTTTTTAAATAAGTCAAAGATTATTTTAAATATAAAATAAACAAGATCAAATCTTCAATAATTAAGTCAGATCTCTTCACCACTTTAAGCTATTTATTGGAAAGGATCTGAAGGGATGCGGGATTTTCTATTGATTGTGTGATTATTTCGAATTTATACTGAAGATGGTAACAAATGCACTGATTAGTTTGTTTGTCCTTGAAACTGACTATTTTTCGGATTTTTCATAACGAGTTATGTTGAATGCTTTTCTTTTTCGGCATATTACATAGAACTGTGATGAATGTTTTGGGATTTTATTTTTTCAATAATGTACAAATCATGCATCAATTCAATACAAAAACTGAATCATATAAAAATATATTGAAAATGGAGCAAAAAAATACAAATATGAAACCGACTTCAATTTAAGATGGCAATACAGCGGATTATACTATCCGAATCCCTCCTCCATATTACTCGGATTTGGAATGAAAAATATATTTTTTTCTAATCTGATTAGGGACAAGTTGGAAGATTCTACATCGATAAAATAAATATTATTAATATTTAATTAAAAATAAATATCAAGTCTCTATAAAAAATTAATTTTACTATAACTGTAGTATATTGTTAAATATAAATAATCAGAATATAAATCTAACAACAAATGTATTTCAAAGAATTAATTATTCAAGAAATATATATATATATATATATATAATCGAGTTCGGCTTTTCCTCAAAGAAAAAATGCTCTTTGTTTCCATTGCTATTTGTTTATCTAAAAAAAAAATACCTTTTTTATATTTTTTATAATAATTTCTATCAGATCAAGTTTTGTTAGGTACGCATCAGAATAAGTAATTTTGTCATTTTATTTCAGTTAAAAACCCTCATGGTAATTACTATAGTTATAATAAACCCATAAGACTTTCATTTTAATTTTTAGAAAAAGGTACTTGGTTGCGAATCCAGCATAAAAAAAAACAAAAGTCAATATTAAAGAAGCTAGCTTCGTAAATCATATGTTAAAAAAGTCACACATGCATTATTACTCAGTGATTGATCTTATCAAAATTTCGAATTTATTGAGCAACGTACATCCCCTTTTTTTAATTTCAAATTTAATTACACACATAACCAGTAAAAATGATTCATTACATTACATGGCTTCTTCAACTTCATCAATCAATCTACGAAGCAAAAATGCAAGTCAAAACGTCCTTTGTTTGTGAACGAACAAGTTGAGATTGACTGGAAATAGCAAAGACTAATCAAAAGCACTCCTTTTTCAATAAAAACATATCGTGTAAGAAAAGGAAAGGGACCAAAAAACCAAAGAAAGAAAGAACGCGAAAGGAGCCAAGCCATGACTGACTGACTGATTGACTGACTTACTAACCAAAGGCCAAACCCAACTAGCTACTCCTTGTTTTTTACTTTGCCTTTCAACTATTTTCCCCCTCTCTATCTGCGCGGCTTATCGATATGTCCGCCAACTGTGGGACCCTTGAACAACCTCCGCTCACTGTTACGCCAAGACGAAGAGCATCCTATATAGCCGTTGTAAAAACATCAACCAACTGGATCGTGCCACGTGTAAATCCATGCCCGAAAAATCTGACACGTACCCCTGCGGGGTCCTTTTGACTGCCTCAAAGAAAAGCTCCTATGTGCGCATCGCCTTGCCTTTGCCGTAATTGCTATCCTGCGCCGGGGGAACACGAATTAGGGGTGTTCTATTCGGTTACTGACAGGCATGGGGCCCATTGGAACCCATTTCCGTTGACTTCATAGCGACCTCTCCGTTCCATCAAATGTGTTTTTTCTTGCCCTTTTTCTATTGAGTTTTGACTATACTAATTGCAAGTGTATGGTTTTTATTAATTGTTGTTGATAATGTGATCTTGAAGTAATATTTTTTAAAATCAATAAATAGATAGTGCTCATAATTGAGTTTGGTTACGAGGCTAATATGGGTATAAAAAGACTTTGGATTGCAAGCCGCGATGGAGGCAAACTCCCTTTGCACCTCCCGGCTGATGTTAAATGCCCGTATTGCCCTCATGACAGCACGACATGATTTCAGGCTTTACGGCTGATGAAACTTGTTTGTTAATTGCCAGGAATTTATGAGGTTCGTTTTGGATAAAATCAATGTCCTAATTAATTGCCATCATGAACACGCGCGCTCTCTGGTTTTTTTTATTGATAATAGAGTCGAGCAATCAATTAAAAAAAAACATTTTTTTTAGTTCATAAAAATCTGTGGTGAAGTTTCAGTTTTTTTTTTTTTAAAGATATTTCAGATTCAAAAATTCAAATTAATTATTTAACATTTAATCTGAAAATACAAAATAAACATAACTATTTTCAAAAAAACTGTTTGTATAAAAATTCAAAATTAAGATTATTTACTTAGTTTCTAAATTTTTTTTTTCACTTAAATCAATTTTTTTAGATGGAGAATTTTCATTTTTAATCACATCAAGATGTAAGCCTTAGTTTTATAACAAAAAAAAAACTGGTTTGACAATGTAAAACGAAGAATTAATATTCTCCGGTCATAAATTCTCAACGATTGACTATTAAGAGTGCTTTTATTAATAACATCGGTACCAATCTATTTTTTTAATTAATTTGAAACACATAAACTTGTCTCGTCTCTTGAATTCTTGTATTGAAAGTAACGTATTTTCTAATATATATATATATATATATATATATATATATATAGGTTCAAATCTCTCCAGCGAACAATAAGACCATCATGCGTTGATCAAAATTTTATAATAATGGAAAGTATTATACATCCATACTTATGTGTCCACGTAAAAGTATAACTTGATGGTTTCGACAATGAGTTTTATTTTTATGTAAAAGGTTATAAAAAAATTAGAAATATTAAATATTTTTTTATAATATTAAAGATATTTTTAGATTGGTTTTTGAATATTTCAAAACTAATCTCGCCCTATTAATATGATTAAAAAATATTTTTCAATAAATAACATCTAAGAATAAATTTTTAAAATTATTGTCTATAAAAATGGAATACTAGACCTACAGGTTTAGCATTCCGCATAGCAGATCTAATGATTGTTTTTTTAAATTCATTATTACGTCAAAAAAAAAAAAAAAAAGTAAGAGTCGCGTATCCGGATCATGGAATCACAGTTTCACAACAACGAATATTGAGAAAGAAGTGAAATTGCAATTTCGTTATTCAACCATCATCCAATCTAAAACACTGTACGAGGAGGGACAAGACCATGGAAGTGTCATTGTTCGGTAGACTTTTGACAATGGGATATCGGGCTGATTTGTCTTTCCATTCCCGTCATTTTTTGCGTCACTACCAGATAAATTATATATATATATTCGAAATTGTATTTTCATGTAAAAGGAAATTCCAGCTATAAAAATTAAGTCATTTCTCTCTGTTCTTTCTTAAAAAAACATTATCTCTTTCTAAAACCTTAGTCATTTCTTTTTCATTCCTCTTGGTTCTTTCTTAAAAAAAAAAAAAAAAACATCATCACTTTCTTCGGTGATTTTCTCTAGCGGCAACCTTCATTTCTCTAGTTTTTATTTTTATTTTTTTAAGTGTGTTAACAATTTGAATTTAAGCTTTATGTTTAGATCGGATTTTTGCATAAAGTTCTCATTTTGTTAGAAGGTGTTTGTCACTGATATAAGATTTTAATATCCTTCATTTGGTTGTGATGAGTATTTATTGGTTTTGTACAAGTTACAATTTTCTTTTTAATTTCTGATATCATTGTACCGCAAAAAATAATAATGTATTTATTTGATATATATAATCAATAAAATTTCAATATTTTATATAAAAAATCCAACTATAAATATATTAAACAATTATTCGATAATTAAACTCATAGTTAGGGTCGAGGGACAAGGGAATTCAACACGGTTCATCCAAAAGAGGACAAGCTATACATTCCACACGGTTTAGCAAAATAGAGACAGACCAATTGGACACAGGTCAAATCAGCTTAGTCGGTCATAGTGTTACAAAAGTTATTTATTTGGTACAAGTTGGCATAAAATCTCAATCTATTGATTGAAGTTGTCATAAATGAAGCCAATTTTCTTCAATATAGTCCAGCAAAATATAACCACGAACGATGGGAAAGTTCTTTAGCATGCGCGTGCTTTGACTCGAAAATCTGCAAGTCGCTGGGTTGCCCTATTTAACTTCCAACATCATTAATTTATTTCAGAAACCTCAAACTAGTCCGCAACCCATCAACTAATTCTCAATTGGGTTTTAAACTAACCATGTTTTCAATTCTGTTCCTGTAAACATTTAACAATCGAGTCCTTCCATCCATGCCCATCGATAATTTTTTTGTCACTTGGGCAATAAGATAATGCCATTTTGAATTGAGATGATTTTAGATTGTATTGGAAAAATTGTGGTGATTTTAGAATACTGTACCTAATTGAGAAAATTACTTGCTTTAAATGAAACTAAATTAGCAATATGTTTAGGGATGAAAATAGAGTTTTTCTTTCATTTTTCTTTTAGATATGTTTGTTTCGATAAAAATAAATTTCAGAAACTTGTTTTTTTTTCATTTTTTGCCATTTTCCAATATTTGTTTTGCGGTAAAAAAAAATTAACAAAGTTTGATTTTTAATCAATGAAAATTAATACACTATTTCTATAAAAGTGACTTCTCGGCTAAAAAATAAAAAAAACATTCTTTTTCTCTCTTTCAAGAGTTATCTCGTTTTGTTGTTACTCATCCCTCTCTTGATATATTTTAACAATTTTTTTCTCTCGTCTTCTTTTTTATTTAAAACACCAAATTAATTTTTAATCATTTCTTATCAATTATTATCAATTATTTAATTATTTTTATCTATTTCTACAAACATTTGATATTTTCATTCATAAATACATTAAATATTGTTTAAAATAATTTTTAAACCTTAAAATTATTTTTATGATAAATATTTCAATAATTTATCTATATATTTTTTTCACCATTATCTCAAACACCACCTAAACTATATTTAAATGATTGAAAATGATTATTATAAGACTTGAATCATTTGTGAAAAAATTAAAACTAATTAATTCATTAATAAATGCATTATTTTTCTAAATTTATTTATTTACAACTAAATCAATAATCTTTGATTAATTTTAATCGGTTGTAAAATTTTGTTAGTAATTGTATTCAATAATTAGTTACAATTTATTCAAACGTTAATATTTTGAAACCAAATGAATAATTATCTACAAATGATAATTAATAATCTGTAAAATTATTTTTTAGACTAAATTATCAGTTCAATTTAGAAAAAAAAATTCTTAATTGAGTTATCAAAATAATAATGCTATGATGACTTGATTTTTTTTTTTTTTAGTAAATGTGAATATTAACTTGATTTTGTCCGAGTAGTTTTGATGAATTGATTTGATGGTTAAAAATGTATATTTTATTTTTTGATTTTTGAATTTAAATCTTATAGTCGGTATTTATAAAAATTTATTAAATTTTTCTAAATGCATCTTATTGATTTTTAAAATATATTTTAAAATATTTCAAAAAAAGATTTAGTTTCAATTGTAAAATGATTTTAAAATATTCACTACATCCGGATGAAAAAAAAAAATTATAGTTCAAGTGATATTTCAACACCATTTGTCTCTGTTTCGATATATTCTCGATTATAATTGATGCTTTTTGTTTAGCACATCAAATATCGGTAATTCATATGCTCTTTTTGTATATGGATTATTATGGATGTGAGATCTTTTAACAATTTTTATGTTATGAGATTATGAATGTATCTTGTTGAACTTTTCTAAAAAATCGTTGATATAACAATCGTAGTATCGTTTTTGTATTTCGATCTTTTATATCACACAAACGTTAGAATATATTTTTTAATAATTTTTTTATGTAATTGCCAAAAGTCAAAAATTCTTTTTTGAAAAAACAACTTCCTAAAAAATAATTTGTCTAGAATTACGTTTTTTTATTAGAAGTTGATTTTCCTTAAACAAACAGACCTTTGTTTTCGTTCCTTTTTCTTGAAGCAAAGAACCATCTGCAACTGTTTCCTGATGTTGTTTTTTTTTTCTAAAAAAATTTATGATAAGTTTTGAGTCACATCACTCAATTAATTCAGGGTTATCACTTCACTGATCTTCGCCTGACAAGGCAATTAAGGCAGCGGTGGTGTCAACAGCATTAAATTCCTAAATGCATTTTCTATATACATATGAACTTATCATTACTCGATATTCAAATGATGGTGTCTCAAATTATATTTTTATTAAGCACGTGAAAAGAAATATGGATTTCTTCGTGTGCTTGCGGCCGTGGCTGGAAGAAAATTTCAAGTTAAAAATAACGTTTATTATTTTCTCTCAACAAAGTTTGAATTTGAGTCATGTATTACTTGCTGCCCAAGAGAAAGCATACAATTAAGGGAATAAAAGCAGAACGGAACTCTATACTTTGTCAACAAAGGTTGTTGTATAATTATGGGAAAACAACTGTGGCATATGAGCATTAAAGCAGAATAATGCAAGTTGGATTCGAGGAATTTAATTATACTATCAAATCAGAGAGAGAGAGAGAGAGCTTTATCTTTATTCCAAAAGGTTAAGCTATGAAAGCATGGGATCTTTTATATATAGCATTAATCGGCACTCACACGTATAAATGTTCGGAGCTAATCATGATTTTGTCATATTGGTTCCCCTTTATAGCTAGAGCTGCTGCACAGTGAATTTGCTCGCTTTTCACTCGCACTATTTCTAGCTAGGCAGCACATTCTTGCTTCAACTTCTTCTTTATTACATAAGCAAACAGTAACCTGTTTTTTTGGATCCAGAAAAGCAAGGAAGCTAGTAATATATAATGTGAAGCAGCATTTTTCCCTTTAACTTTTGCTAATATTAACATTGTAGTTCAGTAATCCCTGGAAGGGCTTTTCTTTCGATTCTTTAATTCCTTCTTTTTAAACATTCCAGATCAAAGGAATTAACATAAATATAAAGTCAATCTACTATGAAGCTACCTGCTGTCTACATGCATAAAGATGCCATAACTTTGAGAGAGTAGCTCGAGATAATTAGATAGATACCAAGCTGGCGCTTTCTGGTTGCTACTCCCTCTTTTTTTGAACATGAAATCTGATCATATAAAGAAACAATTCACTTTGTCGTGGCTTAAGCCCACCAAAAGCATTCTGTCTATCTGTCCCGTTAAATGAAGAATATTTTCTCCAGGGGCTTTTATTTTCATTTCCATCCTAAGCGAGAGAAAGTGGTCGAATTTCACACGATTCCATGGCACATGGATCAAAAACTTTCGCTTTTTAGGGGTCTAAAGCAAATAAAAGTGAAAGGGTTGCATTGCATTGGGATCTGAAGATAAATGGACACTTTAAGCTTATTGAGGTACGGCAATGATATATTGTCTCTAGGGGTCTTTTCATATCTATTGTGTACGTTAAGGATTTGGTGAGGAGGCAGGGCACGTCCTATTCTTTTATTCTAGTGCTGCGATTGGATGGAGTTTTTTTTTAACTAATAAAAAGTACTTTTTCAGCTGAAATAAATTTGCTAAAGCATCTTCAATCGCCAATCGCAACGCAGAACTTGCTCCATTTATATGTCAATGAACTGAATCAAACCAATCTACATAGCATCGAGAGTGCGTGAATTTCATATAAATCCTTTAATTTCAGCATACATGATTTATCTAGAAATGCTAAATAATAAAGAAAGAAAAAAATTGAAAAATTGTGAGCTATTTGATCATGTATTATTGAAGTTTTATTTATTAATGGTTAACATAATTCTTCAAGACTGAATTTTATTATAAGAAAACTAGCTGAGAGATATCAGTTGGTCGATAAAAGAAAGGGCAAAAAAAAAACCGTTTCCACTTCATTATACATAGTTGCCCGGTCTTGTAAGTCTGCGTCAGGTGAAACACGACATGTGCACTTCAAAAATGTGGTCCTCAACTCACACGCTCCCTTGTACATGACACCAGGGATATACGGTCTAAGCGGGCAATTGCCGTAAGTACCAATAATTCAAAATGCATGCTGCCTTCTACAGGCTCTAAGCCTTTGAACCCAAAATGTGTTGGTTAATGGATGATTATGCATGAATTATTAAGGCCAGCATTTCGCTGGAGTCCTCCCTTAAGAAGAAACATCCAAAGGACTACTTGTTTCCAGTTAGCAATAAGCAATCCTTGATTCCCCTTTCAAAATCTCTAACCACTAACCAGGCAAGAGATGCAAGAGATGCTGATTGCCAGAAGCATTGAGCAACTTTACGAGAATCAAACAAGTATCAATTGGGAAAAGGGAAACAAACGCGCCATAAACAGTAGTGGTGAAATATCAATAGACCTGAAATTAGGAAAAAAACATTGCCAGAATAAATGGGAACAAAGCGAACAGCAATTTTTCCAGTTTTCCAATTGCACGACTAAAAGGCACATAGCTCCAAAAATTCATTTAATTCACCGATAAGTTATGTAAAATATGTCCAAATCCTGTTTGTTTTGCAATAGTCAGGTTATTGTTTCCTTCCTCTCCCTTTCTTCCCTGGCTGTGCTTCTGTCTGTTCTTTCCCTGTAACTTCTGACACATCCGCTGCATCAAGAGAAAAAACATAAGAAACGAGTACAACTTGGACACAACGAGAACCATGAATTTATATCAAACTTAATATAAAAAAATGCATTTTAAATATAGTGGAATTTGGAAACAAAAAAAAAAAAAATTCGGAGATATCTTTTACCATCAGGGCCCCGAGACATCAAAGTAAAGAATAGGTTGTTCAGCTTCTCCATCTTCTTAGCATCCTGTGCCTGGTCTGTCTTGAACTTAAGACACTGGCAAAAAAAGCATAAACATAAATATAGATGCATTACTGAAAAAAAAGAAAAAGAATTCAGATACCAAGGCAATTATATAGTGAAAGCTATTTGTTATCAACTGCTTTCCAAGAGCTATGAATTATACATAAAGGCGACAAACATTCGAAGTTGATTGTCGACAGGCCAAAAGCATGTGAATCCAGGAAATACATATACAAGAGAACGAGATGCCAATATACAGAAGCATTGTTTTATTAATAAAAGGAAGCATCCATGGTCCCATGTCAATGGGCAAACATCATAAACTCATTTTTGGGGAATGCTTCTGTACATTAGGACGGACACACACACACACTGACTCTTGAGTGTTGGGGAAGGCCAGAAGGGGAGTCAGGGCAGTGGGTAAAGGATGCCTGGAATGTGAGTAAGAATGCCATCGGACGGAATTAACGCGCTCTTTGTGGGGGAAATGTCCCTTGGCACCTTAACTATAAGGGGACCATTTTTCAGATCACTGACAGCTGTAAGCGCTCTACCATTCCAACATCTTCTCTTAGAATAGAAAAGGTCATAAAAGAGTTCATGATACTAATGACATGATAAGCACACGAATGACATCAAAAGCGAAGGAATGTCAGACATACATGAGATCTGTGGTTTCTGGTTAACTTTTTTGCCGGGCATGCTGGTCCAGTGACTGCCATATTTGTCTAATAATCTCTTCTAAAAGTTGTTAGTGAGTTCATAGTAAAACAGCTATAGGGAAATTAAAATCATAGAAAAGGCTGTGAAGTTATACAGATTACTATTTAATTGAAGTAAAACAGATGTGAATCCTATTGCACTGTTCCATTCTCACAAGAGCATTCTTCATCATAACATTAGATGAAGCAAACCGGTCATCATCAGGGCAGCCATGAACTCACCTCAATTAAACATCAATCTCAAACTAACTGGGGGACATATAATACAACAAACATAGCAACATCCTCCACATCCAATCTGATCCATTTAACAATATAACTTCAAAATTAAATTGACATCAAACTGCAGAAAGAGCCGACTGTTCTGACACTACTGAGACCACATGGGTTTATAAAGTTCAAGATTTTCAATCAACTTCATGGACATTTCGATGCTTTTGATGTAGCATGACTCAACACAGTAATGACTTTGAGAATGCACTCCGTAATCAAAACTAAACACCAACTTAATAATTTATTTTCCCTGCTCAGCCATTACTTGTAGAAGTAATATACACAATTTACAATCAAAATCACGCAAAAAGTTCACAAAACAAAAACATCCAAAGTACAAGAACAAGAACATGCCTAGGTGGCTCCAAGAGATATAAAAAAGTTCAGTGGATCAAACTAATCAACCCAATCAATAAAAAAAGAGAATGTTCACTCATGTGATTTCCTCTCAGTGATCCCTTGAAAAATAAAAAATCAAAACACCGAACAACATACCCTAAAAAGATTTCTTGTTTGGAAACCCACCAGCCAAGAACGCCGTGCATAAAATGGCGAGAGGCCATAAAACCCCAACAAACAAAAAACACTACTCTGCTTTCTTGTTTCACAAAATTACCTTCTAAACCATATACAAATCCTTGCAAATAAAAAACACTCTGATTCTTATATATCCTAAATTCAAATCTGCAGCATTCGTCACAGAAAAATTGACATTGCAATATTTTATATATAAACTAAGGCAGACCTATATATAATCTAAAGCACAGATTCAATCGCATGTATCTAACAAAACAGAAAGGCTTAAACTGAAATTGATAGGTACCTCTTTGTTGTCAGTGACCTTGAGAACTAACTTGCCATCACAGTGTCTGTACTTCATCACATACCGCGTCTATATCCCCAATTCCATAGCACAAATTAAAAACATAAAACACAATTAGCAACATAAAATAGCACAATTTCACACAAAATCGGTATAATTTTTAAAAACAAAGAAGAAAGTACAATTAATCATTGGATCTTATCACATGATCAGAAAATTAAAAAACATAAGCGTCTTCCTCGAACTACACCTATGATGCTTTTCAAGCCAATGAGAAAAAATGAAGTAGGGATTGCAATTGGTTCCTTTTCCTTTAATTTTCTAGTAACCAAGCAGAAGCAAATTGAAAAAACGAAAAAAAAAAGCAGGGAGAAAGTAGCGTACAGAATCGGGATCGGCACGGAACAACTGCACAGATCGCTCAACGAACTCGTCCCACGAAGTTATGTAAACCATTGCGTTCAGAAAGCCAAAAAATGAGAGAGAATTGCTTGATTTTTAACGAATGAGGAACTGCCGTGACACAATGAAGAAGAAGGCAGAGAGATTTTGCTGGGTTTTTAGGGATGGTGTTTTTATGTACCACCCATTCTCACTCGCTGTAAAATGAGTAAATTATGAATTAGTCCTTATAGGTTTGAGATACGAATTAATTAGGTTTTATTATTTTAAAAACTAATTATTCAGTCCTTTTTTAATGCTTTTCTCTAATTTGTTTTGTTTTAACAAATAAAGAATAAAAGGATATCATGAAAAAATAGATGAAAAAAGAACTTATTATTTGAAAATAAAATAATATTAAATTAAATGTGATTAATTCTAATTAAATAATTAATTAATCAATTAATTTTAAAATAAGAAAGACTAATTGATTTCTTTTTCAAAACTAGAGAAACTAATTTATAATTTACTTATGTAAAATTAAGTTGCGGTTTAAAAGCCAATTGAATTATGCCGTAAGCTGAAGGAAAAATGTATGGCACTAGGCTCCTTAATGTGGAAAAACGAGGTCGTTTTGAAAAGGCGGCACCAAAACGGCATCGATGTTAAAAAGACAAAAAAACAAGAGCATATGCGTCGAATGGCTCCTTTACCCGATTTTCAAATGTTCTGAAATTTCAGGCCGGGGATTCGAAATCCTTTTTTGATATTTTTATGACAAGAAAGTCAACAAAACCACCATTTCGTTACAAATGGACTCCTCACTTCTTGTACCATTACTTGCTCCACTGGAACACCACAAAGCTGCAAGAAAAGGCCTGAAAAATGGGACTTGGCTCAACAGAGAGGATTGATGAAGAAGAAAGAACAGAAGGAGTCGTCGTAGTAGTAGAAAGACAAGATTCAAGAGAACATGATCAGGTGGGAGAAGGCACGTGGAAACACGCAGCGTTTCATGTTGCCACCACGATTGCAACTCCTGCTGCTTATGCTCCTTTACCTTTCGCTCTTGCTTCTCTTGGATGGCCCCTTGGTAATTTATAGTCCACTTGCTCAAATTCTTTCTTTAATCAATAGAGTATTGAATTAGAGGGACCAATCTCTGACTTGAAAAGGATATGTCTTTTGCGTTCAGGGGTGAGTAGTTTGGTAGGGGCAACAATGGCCACGTGGTATTCGAGTCTATTGATTGCGTCTTTGTGGAGATGGAATGGGAAGAAGCAGATTACATATAGGCATCTTGCACAAAGCATCTTTGGTTAGTCTCACCCTCCGCTTAATTAACCCTGCGTATTATTAATTACAATAATTCAGCACAGTAGGGATTTGTAGTAGTAGCAGAATGTGACCTTTTTGGGTTGCAATCTCGTTGTAAAGATATTTTCTTTAATTTCGCTACTTATTTAGGCGATTTTACTGTTCTTGTAGTAAATTATTTTGCTATTTTAACTATGTTCTGCAATATTTAGTAAAATTATGTTGCCGATACGTATGGAAGAATGTTTAATGTATTGCTTGGTTTGTTTTGTAGTTTTTTTATTTGTTTCACACTCTGCTTTTCTGTTTCTTGAAGGATTCTGGGGTTACTGGTCTGTTGCCTATTTTCAGCAGGTGGCTTCTTTGGGCAATAACATTGCCATTCAAATTGCTGCCGGAAGCAGCCTCAAGGTTGGTCAATATATAATACCGAATTTCACTTCGGTGCGTTCAATTTTTTTCCTCAATTTGGTTTCATTTTTTGTTGTGGGATGGGGGGATGCTGAATTCCTTTTCTCTGCAGGCTGTTTACAAGCATTATCACAAGGACGGTACACTGACCTTACAGCACTTCATTATCTTCTTTGGAGCCTTTGAACTTTTTCTCTCTCAACTCCCTGATATCCACTCATTGAGATGGGTCAATGCATTGTGTACGTTTAGCACGATCGGCTTTGCTGGCACAACAATTGGTGTGACATTATATAATGGTAGGTTTGGCAAATTTGAAAGTTCGTATTTTGTTTCTGAGTTGTCTTAATTTCTTTCATAAAAAGCACCATGTCAGTGATTCAAGCAGTTTCATGTTTCTCGTACCATTTTAGGTAGGAATATGGATAGAAAATCGGTTAGTTATAGTGTGCAAGGAAGCTCCTCTTTTAAGAGATTTAAAGCCTTCAATGCTCTGGGAGCAATTGCCTTCTCATTTGGCGATGCGATGCTTCCAGAAATACAGGTGCGCACCAACTTAAATTTGACTACACCTTTGGTTTTTCTCTTTTGTTCTTTATGCTGTCTTCCAATAGTAAATATCAATTAGTTGATACTCAACTATAAATCAGGTTACAAATTCTTTGCTTTTCAAACTTACACGTTTGCAACCGTCATTGAATGACCATTTTCCTGGCAGAACACTGTAAAAGAGCCTGCAAAAAAGAACATGTATAAAGGTGTATCAGCAGCATACAGCGTCATTATCTCGACTTACTGGCTATTGGCATTTTGTGGATACTGGGCATTTGGATCAGAAGTCCAGCCTTACATCTTGGCTTCTCTGACTAATCCAGAATGGACAATTGTTATGGCAAATCTCTTTGCAGTTATTCAGATATCAGGATGCTATCAGGTTATCTTCATAACTCTGTTATGACTGGAGAGTTAAATTTCGCATAGATGTTTGATCAGTAAACATACTTTCTGCTAAGATCATGGACAAATATTCACCAACATTCTGGAAATAGTCAGAAGGCTTTTGAAGCAGCGATTTGATGTGCATGAGTGTTTGTGTTACATGATAACTGGAATAAGTATTCCCCTTCCAGGAAGCTAAAGGATATTTTAGTGCTGGCAAAACCCATTACTTTACTACTCAATTTTTAATGGTTTTGCGGTTAAGCCCTTACCATTTTTTGATGGATGCCCATAACAATTTCTTCTTTTTCTCTTTGCATAGAACTTGTACGCCTTGATGGGGACATGTTCTGTGAACCTAGGCAAAGTCACTATTTGCATCTCAGAAATAGTGTGAAAACACTTGAATTGTACTTCGTACTTTATTAGCATCGTGTTTATTTTCATGAATATAATAACCCATTGTTTAACCTTTCTGTCCTTTCTTAAAAGATCCATCTTTTTCCAGCTTGATTGCTGTTGTTTCAAACTTTCCCTATTTGCAAAAACATGCTTTCCCAAATGTGTTCTCACTTCTAGTGGCTTAGATTCTTTATTAAGTTCTAAGATCTTGGGGGATTCCTGGTGGCAGAAAAGTTTACAGGACACTGATTTTCTTACCATTCTCCTTATGTCATGTAACTGTTCGGCTCACGGTTTCTTTGTTTAGATATATTGCAGGCCAACGTATGCCTACTTCGAGAACAACAAGCTCTGGAGCAAGATTGCCAGCCATTTCCCTCTCAAAAACTGCCTAATTCGGCTGGTTTTTACCTCCATTTACATTGTTCTCATCACCCTCATTGCTGCAGCAATGCCCTTTTTTGGTGACTTTGTATCCATATGTGGTGCCATTGGGTTCACTCCGCTGGATTTTGTTTTCCCTGCCGTAGCATATTTGAAATCTGGAAGAATGCCAAAAAACACGGAGCTTCGCATTTCAGTGCAGCTCCTTAATTTAGCAATAGCTACCTGGTTCTCAGTTGTTGCAATATTAGGTTGCATTGGTGCTGTCAGGTTTATTGTGGAAGACATCGAGACCTACAAGTTCTTTCATGACATGTAAGAACTCAATTTAATGTATGGATACAATGTCTCAATGTGCATTTTCTCCTATTGGAGCATGAAAGTTAACCACAGATTATCAAACTATATATGTGCATTGTAATATAAACACTACATTTTCTCTCTTGCCATCAGCGTATTCTGTAAAACCATCGGTTTGCCAGCTCCCCTTTTGATTAAAGATTGCAGCAGATTCTTACATATGTATTTTGAACCATGAGCGGATATTGCTTGTACACAAGATTGATACATTGGATTATTTGATGGTTTGAAACAGATGAAATGATGATAGGGGATCAAAATTATTCGTGAGGAATCAATTGAAGGGGCCACTTGATGGATTAAAATTCATGTTTTGGATTTGCATTTCGAAAAAAAAAAAAACCTCATTTGGATTGAATCTTTTGGCTGCTTTTGATCTAAATCGAAGGAGACATGCTTCTGCTAAAGCCTCTGCAAGAGTCAACCCGTCATAACCATAGATTTAAATAACAATTATTATATAATCACCTTGTTATTATTATTTGATGTTATACAATGGCTATAAAACTTATTTTACTACTACGATAGTTCGCAACTTGCAAGCGTGACTGCAACCATTTTTTCAACACTAATGTAATTTGAAATAATGGTCCTGATTCATGAAGCAATATAGAGGTTAATATTTTATGCAAAATCCAATCTCCGACTTTGCTTCCCAGTCACAGTCCATGCTACACAGTTATTCTCGGGAGCCAAACAGATCCTCAAGATTTGTCTCTGACTCCATCCCATATTAAGAGGCGCCAAGAAACCAAAAGCCAAAAGCCACAGGAGTAATGATTAACTTGAAAACTGAAGAGTTTGTCATAATTTTCATTCCAAATCAAGGAGATTATACGGTATTGCTAACATTTCCTCGTGTAATATTCTGCATTCTTCTGAGTCTCTTCATTTCCTTGGCGAGCTCTCCTGAAATTTTCTCTGTAAAAAACTTTCCCTTCTATCTTTCTTCCTATCTGCGCCCGCCCACTTTCTACTCCAAACCAACAATTTTTTTCTCTAATGGCGCTCTGTCTAGGTTCATCTTTTAAATATTTTAAGGTTTCTCTCTGCGTGTATCATGTTTTTATGGGTTTTATCTTAATTTTGTTCTCATCTTTGACATGTTGGTTATGCCAGTACTTACCACTTTCTTGGTGCTGCATTATATGAGACCTCAACCTAGTAAAGAGTAAATACATTTTGCTTTCATAATTCTCTCTCTCTCTCAGTTTTTTTCCTTTGGGGTTTAGATAAATTCGAGGTCTGTGGTTTTTATCGTAGTTTTGAAAACACATCTATCTTTTTGAAATGCTGGACAGGACTAGCAAATGAACTTGATATGGGAGATGGTTTGGCGGAAACAGTAGCAAACATCAAGGATTCAAATGGTCGAACTGCATTGCATTTTGCTGCAGTAGGAGGAAGGACTCATGCGTGCCGGTACCTTATGGCAGAAGCTAAAGTCGATGTTAATGCGAGAGTTGGGAAAGGTACATGGCACGAATTGGCTTGCTATGAATTTCAAAAGCGATAGCATTTGAAAAATATATCATCTCGCAGCTTTTGCCTTCATTTTTTCCAGCTTCATTTATGTTTTGGCAAAAAGTTTGTTCTACTGTTTTTTTCTAGAGAATATGATTACGCAGGTTCTCTATTCTTCTAATATGTCTGTTATGGCAATGGCCTCTTTCGAGGGGCAACTCCTTTGCATTATTCTATTCCAACATATCATTATCCAACTGCGGTTCATCTTCGTGAGAATGGTGCAAAGCCGAATGGAGCAACTGACAAGGGACTCACTCCTATGCATTTCGCTGTAAAGAGATGTTGTTTTTAAGTTTCATGGAGAAGGCTTTCAGTTGCGGACTAGTAGTTGTGGACTAGTTGTTGTGCTGCCATGTTTTTTTTGTATGTTGGATTTTTTTCTACAATTCTATGAATATATTTAGTTTTCAGAAAACGATTGTTGTTTTGAATTATAATATGGTATTCATCATCATCATTTAATTATCTTAAACATTTATTACTTCTGTTATTTTTCATATTAATCCTTATATTATGCAATTATTTTATTACATCTTTATTAATTTCAAAAGATTATGAAATCGATAAAATTATATTTGTTACTTGTTATAAGTGATATATCTTTATTAATATAAAAAAATAATTTTTTAAAATTTGTCAGAAATCGATAAAAGAATAGATAAGAATTCAGCTCAAAGTATAAGGAAAGATTGAAATTATAAAAAAAAAAAAAAGAAGATTGAAAATTAACTTATTATATAAGGATATGTGAAGATATTAATCTTATTTAAATAATTAAAATGAGTTAGTGATATAATTTATTGTAGAATTTAAAACCCTGTGAAATTTGTGCTCTGTGCATGTCTATGGTATTCATAAATTTACACCCTTGTTTCTATGATTGTTGCAAGTAATATATCAAGGCTGAAAACTAACGAGATAATCCGTCCTGGCTGCAATGCTCTCTTTTATAGGGGTCGTTCTTTAACTTTTGCCATCGGTAGGCTGCTGATAAATTTCAAAATTCAGTTTTAGAATCGACTTATCTAGACGTAATTTAATACTAACCCAGTTTAGGAAGTAACGGATGAAATTTCGATTCACGCTAAAACTAGCTAGTAGGAGAATATCTTAATACATGTAAATATCAATAAAAAAATAATAGTAAATAAATAAAACTTCTGCGATCATCCACGGTCATTAATCATTATCCCATTGCCGCCGATCTTCTTGAGAATGGTGCAGATTTAATGCCGCAGTTGACAACTACACATACATTTTGCTGCAGCCAAAGGTTAGTAAATTTCTTGGGAACAGAGCCGTTGTCATTTTCGTTTGTGTTTTGTTTTTTGGTTTGTTAGAAATTAGAAATCGAACTAGTATTTCAGTCAGAAAAAAGGCAACAGATTTCTGATGTTTTACTACGCGCGTATTATTGATAGGAATGCCTCGTATTCAGACAAATGACATTTGATTTTTACATGTATATGATTACATACATGCATGGATATAATTCAAAAGGCAATTATTCTATGCTGAATCACTTGGATCGTAGTGTTCTTTGAGGGAATCTAGTGAATCAATTTGAAGGGCATCAACATCATTCTAGCTACAGTAGCGACTGATATTTGCTTTTAGTTACATGATATTTTATACTTTATTTAATAGTTTAAGTTTTTAAATAAAATGATAATTTGATATAGTATTAGAGTTTTGATAACTAATTGATCGTGAGTTTGAATTTCATCGTCCTTATTTTTCTTCTAATTAATTGAATATACAGTAATGTGAATTTAGATAAATTTTAAAACTAAATAAATCATATATTAAACCTCACCTAATAGATAAAACAAATAAATCATATCTTGAGTCTCACCTAATAACTTAAACTATTAATTGAACACTTACTTAATAGCTTAAATTATTAATTGAATGCAAGATAGTGTGGGTTTTTATAAGTTTTAAAACTAAATAAATTATATATTGGATCTCATCTAATAATTGAACATAAAATAATATGAGTTTATGTAAATTTTAAATTTAAATAAATTATATTTTAAGTCTCATCTAGTAACTTAAATTTTTGAAGGACATGCTCAATTGACACTTCCTTTATTCTTTCAAGGTACAAAAATTTGCAGTGTTATGCCTGAAGCTCTCAAATCGTTGCAACATTTTTTTTTTTTTTTGCCCTTTCCATCCAACTCAATGACGGTTGAAAATTTGGATGGTTCCATTCGGCGCCACTCAAGCAATTTAGTGTCTTTTCCAAGCTTTTCATGGTTGATATCATGATCACATGGAAAGTATGCAACTAATTTACAATTATGATCAGGATAGTGTTGCAACTCTCAGACATCTAGGCGCTGTCAAAATTGCAGTTCTCCCTGTATGTTTGGTGCTCTGGTTTATTGTTCATTGGCTGACTCTGCAACGCTATAGCCGCAAAAGGTCCTGAGGTAATAAAATGCGCTAAACCTTCACAAAAATGTAAAAATATAGACATGTTCTTTTTTTTTTCTCGATTTCCAAAGAGTTTGTCATGTTTAGATTTGTTTGATTGGTGCAGCAGATTCATTTAGGGGAGGTTTGCTATTAGAGCCTGAAAACAAGGACCTTCAAAGTGGTCTTACGTTATGGTGCTGTTAGCCAGGCACACCTCCGCTACTGCAAACTTAATTAGTAGCTACAGCGTGTACTGTTTGACTGTGTTTGATTGGGATAAAATAAATTTTACGAATTTGTTTTTTATTTTTTTCATTTAAGAAAAAAGTCAATGCAAAATGATTTTCAGTCAACGAAAAATGATATAGTATTTTTGAAAAAGTGTTTTTCAAGTTAAAAAAAAAAAATATTTTTTCTCTCTCATGAGTCTGTCTCTCTCTAGTGTTACTCACATTTCTCTCGATATATTTTAACATTTTTTTTATCTATCTCATTTTTATTTAAAATATATCAAATTAATTTTTAATTATTTATTATTTAATTATTTTTTTCTATTTCTACAAACATTTTATTTTTCAATTTATAAATACATTAAATATTCTTAAAACCCATTTTCATCTTAAAATTATTTTTATGATAAATATTTCAATAATTTGTCTCTATTTTTTTACCATTATCTCAAACACCACATAAACTATACTTAAATGATTAAAAATGATTATTCTAATATTGCAATCAATTATGAAAAAATTAAAACTAATTAATTTATTAATATATACGTTATTTTTCCAACACTCGTTCTTGTGATTAATTTTAATCGGTTGTAAAATTTTATTAGTAATTATAGTTAATAATTAGTTATAAATTATTTCAACATTAATCTTTTGAAACCAAATGAATTATTATGTACAAATGATAATTAATAATATGTAAAACTATTTTTTAGACTAAATTATCAGTTTAATTTAAAAAAAAAAAGAATTCTTACTTGAGTTATCGACACAACAATGCTAAGATTACTTAAATTTTTTTTTACTAAATGTGAATATTGACTTGATTTTGTTCTAATTAGTTTTGATAAATCGATTTGTTGGTTAAAAATATATATTTTATTTTTTGATTTTTTAAATTTAAATCTTAGAGTTAGTATTTATAAAAAATTATTAATTTTTTTAAACGTATCTTATATTGTGAAATTATGAATATGCATTATTGAAGTTTTCTTAAAACTCATTGATATAATAATTTCAGTATGTTTTGTATTTCAAGTGTTTCTATCGAATAAATATTAAAATATATTTTTTAATAATTTTTTATTTAATTATCAAACGTCAAAAAATATTTTTTAAAAAATAATTTTCAAAAAAAATTTTTTGAAAACAATTTTTCTAGTAAAAATTATTTTTCGTCAAATAAACAAATCCTTTGTACCTGCATCTGTTGCCTAGTTAGCAACCATTGAGTTTCACCCGTACATATAGTTCGCTGGCACTTACCAAATGTTGTACCCGTTCTATCTCACACCAGATTCTTAATTCCCTTTGATTTGTTTTTTTACCATTATTTCTTAATTTCTTTTTCTTAAAAACTGATTTCAAAATTTAAATAATAATAATAATAACCAAGAAAAAAAATATGGCACGTCGAAAAAAAAAGGGAAGACAACAGCATGCAAAAGCCTCTCTCAATCAAAATTTAATTAATTATCCTGTCAAGTCTCTCTGTCATATTTTACAACCTTTCCCGTTATTTGGGTCCCAAATTGACTCCCCATTCCCGGCCGACCTTGCCAATTGGCTACTTTCCCTTTTGTCTCTCCTATAGACAGCTAAAGAAGCCGAGACGACATTAAAGCCTCTTTAAAACGCTTAACACGGCGTCGTCTTAACTAGCCTCTGAGTTCTGTCCCAACAAATATCTAGCAATTGAAAAAGCAAATGCCCTGTAAAGAAAATACTAATCAGTTGTAGAGATCTACGAAACTGCCACTCACTCTGTTACAGCGAATCGATCTTCAATCTCGGTCTCCCCTTTCCTCAATGACTTCTCAATCTCCACCTTCGTACGGTTCCCTCCCAACCACCACACCTCCATCCAACTTCCTCACCCGCGCCACCAATACGACCACCACGTTCTTCGCCACGCGCCGCCCATGGCGCGAATTAATGGAATTCTCCTCCTTCACGCGCCCGTACTCCTTCGGCGAAGCAACAATCCGAATAAAAGGCAATCTCTCATACTTTCGCGTTAATTACACTATGATAATCCTCGTTATCCTCTTTTTAAGCCTCTTATGGCACCCTCTCTCAATGATTGTCTTCTTAATCGTCTTTGTCGCTTGGTTTTTCCTTTACTTCTTTCGTGACCAGCCATTGGTAATTTTCCACCGTACGATTGATGATCGTGTGGTGCTCTGTTTGCTTGGCGTTGTTACTATTGTTGCTTTGATTTTCACTCACGTCTGGTTAAATGTCTTGGTTTCACTTTTGATTGGGGCTGCTGTTGTTCTGTTACACGCTGCGTTTAGGAGAACTGATAATTTGTATTCGTATGAGCATGATTTGGCTGATGGAGGTTTGCTTTCTGTTGTTGGGAGTCCTACGAGAGGTGGCTACACTCGCATTTAAATGTAAGATTCTTAGCTCTGGATTTCTTTTCTTTCTATTGGAATTTAATTTCACACGCACGAGTCAGTTGGAACTTAATTTCGGCAGGAGCAGCTGATTTTCTCTCTGGTTAGATGACCAGTCTTGATTTGATTTGATTTTTTCTTTTGTTTATTTTTTAGGGTTTTTTTTCCTTAATAGTATTATTAGTAAGCATTATTTTTTATAAGATGAACGTGTTGTAAATGTGGTGATGATTGAATGAATCGATACAGGTCTTTTTGAATCAGCGAAAAAATAGCTCGTTTACGACATGGTGTTTTGTTCCTTCTTTAGTTTTGTTAAAGGAAGTAGTACTTCTTATGTTGGAGATGAATGCTTTCTTTGAATTTTAATGCAAAATGTGTTCGTTTCTTCTTTTTATTGTATTTGTTTCTCTATAGCTATTGTTGATATATGTCGATTCTCTACTTAGAGTTAAATTTGTACTGGTTTGATTGGGTTTAACTGAAGTCAGTTTTTTAGTATGTATTCGTAGACGAGTGAAGGGAAAATAGTGTTTTTTCATATTAAAATGGTGCGTTCATCGATCTGGGACTTGAACCCCACCCAAACCCTAGCTCTCATGTCATTTGAGAGCATAAATGAGGTACCATCCCGTTGGTGTTAATAGATTGGTGCTATTGCTTCTGTCATTCGTTATGATGTAAACTTGGCTATAATACACAAACATCTGGATATAACAGGGTACAAGTTGGTGCCATGGTGGAAGTATTGTATATGGAACTTAGAAATGCAAGTGGAAGGACTTGGAAGAGTCATTTAAAAAAAAATAAATTTGGAAATGTGGGACTGTCTATGAATTTCCCTTTTCTTGGCCTTAGAAGTGGCATAAGTGCGTAATGGTCTCCTTTTGTCTTCCTTTTTTCAGAACAGAGATGATCCAGAGCTTGCCCATGTGTTTAGAAGTATGAATCTTTCTTTATAAGCAATATAGTGCACAGTTTCTCAGATTTTATTATCAGTATTAAGGGCGAATTTTCTCATAAAGGTGGATCTATTGCATTTGCCCCATGTAAGAAAAAGTCCTTCAAGTGAAAAATTGACAAAGGAAAGTTAGCATTATTGCTGTCACTGGCCATGCAAAGTTGGTGTCATGCCTGTTGTCACAATCTTTGTTTTGGTGATTTTGAAAACTAGTTTCATTACGGGTCTCCTTTTCACCATAGATTTTGGAAGACTTTTTGGTTCCTAGCTCATTTTGTGTCTGATTGAAGGAATGGTTCCAGAAAAGTCTCGCTTTATATGGGGTCTTAGGGATGCGTGTAGCATCATTTTCCTTGGCAAATTATTATGAATCAATGGTGATCTTGAAGTTCTAGAACCATGATTTCTGCTCATGCATATGGTCTTTTCACGATTCCTTTCATGTATTTTCGGTGCATGCTGTTAATGCCTTTGTAGCATTCATTCAAGGAATGTTATTGATTAGTTTTTTTTTTTTCCGATTGTGTGTTTGATACGGATAAGGTCTTGCGTGTCATATCTGTCTATTTGGCAAGTGAAGATAGATCATTTGGCTTTTTACTAAATTTTATGCGATAAAACTGATTCTTTTCAAGTACAATACAATTGAAATTACCTGATGATTTCTTATTGAGTAAAATCCATGGTGGTATCATGCAACATTAGACTTATGTCACCCTTGAATAATTTTTTTCTCCCTATTTCCATGTAATAAGCAGGCCTAGTTATGCAACTTGCAAGTCACCATAGAAGTTACCAAAAACCATATCCTTCACAGCATTTGTCAGCTTAGTTTCCTATCATCCCATCATACTGAGTGGACGGCAGATGGTTTTGTTTGTGGTTTAGATTGCCGGCTATAAGCCTATGGTTCCTACAGGTAAAATTTCACAATTGCAAAGATGAAATTTAAAGGTTTTGGATGAGTTCATGCTTATTATGTAAATATTTTCAATTTAAATCCGTCATAATCTGTCGTCCGATTTGTCCAAGCGTTGTTTTTGGCAGTCTGCTTGTAAGAACTTGTGTGATTGTATTGTACAATAGACATCCTTATGTCTGAAGCTTCAAAGCGGACGGTGGATATTATGATGTCCGAACTTGGATGCAAAAGAGCATTTTCGTTTAGAAGTAGAATTTCCTAAATTAGAGTCCCAGGATGTGAAAATTAAGAGTGAAGGTGGAAACTGCTAGTATTCATACAGTATGATTGATGGTTTAAACATAAAATTATTTTGTAATAGGTATTTACGATGTTAGAAATTGCGATGTCATCCATTTTAACGGAATGAATGTCGTCTAAGTACACATGATTTTCAAAACATTTTTTTTGGAGACGTGCTATATAGAGAGAATTAACACATACTTTGGATATATGTTGTTCGTTAGCATCATGTTTGATTTTATTCATTACACAATTTGTATAAAAAGAATCTTGTTAAAATAATAGATGGTGAAAAAAAAACGGAAAAAAACAGAACAGGCTCGATTCATGGAGAGCGAGAGAACATGAAATGAGAGGGAGAAGACATATGGTTTGTTGCTGTTCATCAATAACGGGATCCATGTGATATGCTTCTCCGCTCCTCATGAAACGGCATCATTTTAAATTCAATATCTAAAATGAGAAAAAAGAAGAATAATTTATGTTCTTTTAACGTTGCACCTACATCATTAAAAAAAAAAAAAACACTGCGTGCACCGAGCGGAGAGATATTATACTTTCTTTTAATTTTTCTCCTTCACTGTAGAAGAGGATAAATAATGACCTGACTAAGAGGCATGACTCATGAGGACTGAGCGGCCCATCTACGCAATGCTTAAAAAGAATGAGGCCCAGAAAAGTTCTAAAATCGGACGCTCTGGTTTGAAAGATCAACCACGAATACCCAGCTGGTTAGTGCAAAAAAATCATGTCAAGATGATCCCCAAAAAATAATTAAAAAAAAAAAAATCCATGTCAAGCTGGGGATAAAACTAAAATCTCAACTCGGTCGAAACAAAAAAATAAAACCTTCTATTGAGGGGGCAGCCAACGAAGCAGATCCACCTTTACATATAACCAGCCGCAGAAAACGATGGGAACGTAAGTCCTATTAAAACAAATAGAACATCTTCAAGCATGTAATTCGTGCAATATGCAGCCAAGAAAAACGTGTTGGTCCCAGTAGAAAGTTTTGCACTAGGTCGTATGTAATCATACAATAGCCGAAAGAACACCCGTGAACTTGCATCTCATCACTGTCGTCTAGCAGCATGTCATGCCACCCTATCGTGCAGATTACCCTGCATTCATATAACCATGAATCAAAGAATTTCTTTTCATCTCCTATTTCCCTGTAGCAGCCTGATGTGGTTACAGCATAGACACCCCAAATATAGTGGATGAACTAGTCGTGAAAGACATGCTCATAATATACAAGCCGAAGAGAAAACCTCACTTTGTTGCCACGGGGTTCAGAGAATCATATGTGAATTATTGAAGATGAGAAGAAAAGCAAATTGGAGAGAAGCATTGTTATGAGCTTGGGACCTTTCGAGCATAGGCCAGCACCATCACAAAATCCTTTGCCGAGGAACCAGCAGATACTGGTACTTGTTCCGACTTTGGTGCTGTCTGTAGCCACTGATCAACTAAATTACATAATAGTAGTGTAGGGATAACTGGTCTTCCCATGCATCTGATCTCAACCTGCAAGAATGCCAAATAGAGGAGTTACAAGAATGAGAGCTGGTCACACTTCTTTCTATACTAAAATGATTAACAAATGCCCAATGAGGCAAAGATGATGTATTTGCTATAGGTTCTACTGCTCAATTGAAAATACTTCCTTATCATTTAAATAAATAATTTGTTCACCCTTTACTAATGGCAGAATCCATCCAAAACATTTGATTTCCTGAGAAAGAAACAATCTCCAATTCTTAATAATTCTGCTCACGTTATTGCATGAACAAATGCAAAATCAAAATTTGACAGGATATCAGACCTCAGAGACATGATTAATGGGATTGGTTCATAAGTAATGTGTGCTAAGGACAAATGCAGGGGGCAAAAAATAATAAAAAGACATAAGTAAAAGATTGGGTGCGCATTCTTAAAGACAACATGTGATGATCTTAGTGCTTGATTGCAATCGCTTGTGCTTCAATCATTTTGACGTGAAAAAAACTTGTGCCTAAGAACACAATAGCATGTTCAACTTGGAGCTAATAGAGTCTGGAAATTCTAGGTCAAAGACCTTTTTGTAATTGCATTCAAAAAAACATATTTTTTCCACATAGCTAGAAAAGATCTGAACTTAAAGCTTTTCAATGACTCACCTCAGCTTCACTAGTGAGGTCTAGCTTCTTCATCAAGTACTTCTGGATGAAAGAAACAGGTACGTTTCCATCCCTGCCATAGAGCAAAATAATGAAACATCTCCAGGAATTAGTTATTTGCTTCACTTTATTCACCAAAATAATGCATATTTTCATATTTCAAACTTTTAAGCTCTGAAAAGTAGCCGCAAGTACTGCTAAAAAATAAGACTGCACAGTAATAGGTAACAGAAATAAATTAACACAAAAACCGTTTTTGGAACTAACTTAACTTGCAGTTAAAGATTTCCAGTGTGCTTTTGGGAAGACTTTTACTTAGTTTGAATGTGGGAAAACTTGTTCAACAATTCAACAAAAGATAAAAGCAAAAATGTTAAGTGGCCTATTACAATATCTAAAATGGACCCCAAATGTTAGCAGGATTTATTGGTTTTTCAGGTTCTCTGCAGCACCTCCCATCAGTTGGACAGAAAACGGACCAGCATGGTATTAAGACAGGTTCAGCTGTAAGTTACAGACTGAAGTTGTCAGCATATATGCCCAGATGCACATAGAATCTATCAAATTAGGCATAGAAGGTCAATTTAGATAACCTGTTCCATATCAGGATTGGTAACATACATCTTGAGATACACTCTCTGAATTGGTTAAGTTACTCTTTGTCCCATTCTGCAGTTACCATACTGCAACCTCCAGACCTCTGGCAGGAATAAGTTGTATAAAAAAAAAAAAAAAAAAAAGAGGAAAGATTTTAAATGAGTTAGATGCATCAACAAAATTTCATGAATGCATTAACTTGTTTTCTCATGATTCTCGCAACCTCAACCCACATCCTATGAGGCTTTCCTTCATTTACAGCCCTATGCCTCGAGGTTAACCTTCCTCTCTCAGGCATTGACAGTTGTTATAGCATATGACAGGCATAACTCGAGCAAAATAGCAAAGTTTTCTCATTGTTTTCCCAGCTACCAAGTACCAAAAACTTGGAGTAATATGTTTACTATAAAAAAGGCAGGTAGGAATCTTCATAACAAAAGAAAAATAAAGTATTCAGCAAATGTGATGAAGAGTACATATAAGAATGCAGTGAAGCCAAAAGAAACTCACTTTAGCCTTAAATAACTTGAAGGAATTTGTGGCAAGGGTGCATATCCTTCCCTGAAAAAGAAGAAGTGAGATTAACTATAACACAGTGAAAGAACATTCAAGTAAGCAAACACATTCCAATATCCTAGACTCCTAGTACAGAAAAAGTTGGGGTTGGTTCTCACTGCTCTTCAGAAGCCAACAGTGAAAACCAAACAGGACCACTTCTTCTTTCTTGCTTTGCAGCAGCAGTGTCCAGCACAGCAGGGGACGAAATGCCTGAAACGTCATCAAAGGCTGCCTTTTTTCGACGAATCCTGCGCAACCTTTTTCGTTCCACTGGTCCCTCAGAGATATTATCGATATTACTCTTTTCATCCTTTACTTTTGATTTGTCTTTGTTTCCCTTAAATTTTGTTTTAAGAACTTGCGGTTCACTGGCACGGACAGGTCGAGATTCTAATTTAGCATCATTAACTTGTGGACTAGACTTGAATGACTTGGTTCTGTTTGCAACTTCCACCAAAAAATTTAAAGGTTGCCAGAGATCTGATTTCCCATCCCTTGGTTCGGCCCCATTCTCGGCTTCATCATCAGGAGCAGGTTGGCTAGGTTCAGCAGAGGAAGAATTCTGCACTAGTTAATCATTCAGTCCTGAGACTTTTTAGTAAAATGAACATTTTCTCAAGATGTCAGAAATGAAAGTTCATATCAACAGTCAATTAGAATGATACTAGGAATCCACAAAACGTAGATACTACTATAGTGGTTAATATTACCTGCCGTGTATTCTGATTGAATTTTTTTGGAGTTTCAGGTGAACTTGAGCTCTCTGGACTATCTTCAACAGGATCGTGTTCCTTTTTAATGGGTTTCTCAATTGGAAAACTGGAACCTCGTAAAGGATGAGCCTTTCTTGGAAAAGGTTTCGTTCTTCTTCCTGTTGTACTAGTCTGTGTGGAAACTTTAGGAGTGCTGACTACCAATGATGAGAGTGACCTCTCCTTTCTTCTAGTTACTGGTAATGTAACTGACTCGGCAACTTCAGGTGCCTCTACCTTTCTTCTTTTGTATGGAAAAATCTTGGACCTCACATCTTGCAAGTTGTGATCTGGCCTGTTTATCATTTACCAACGGATACTTATGGTGACGACTTAAACAACAAAAAATAACCTTATTTTCTTACCAAATTTTGCAGGTAATCTACAATTGAACATTCCGCATGGGCTTGTTTAGTCAATGAGCAGAATACTATAATTGCCCCAACAGATTGCCCAAATAGCAATTGCATTTTATAGCAGTCTATATCGCAGCTAAGCATGTTGGAAAAACTATCCATTCCGTCTCACCCAAATAGAAATAGATAAAAACTTACCTTAATTTTTCCAATGGAATACAACCCAGATTGATATTGCATATCGGGCAGCTATCTAATCCTTCATCCGATATCCTCTGATATATACACTTCCTGCAGACTGGATGAAATAAAAAATGAATGAAAACATAAATTTATTTGAGATTTTTCATTTACGGACTGGACAAACTTAAAAAGAACGATCTTGACCAAAATTTAATCTTCACAAACAATAGGAAATTCATAAATTACATCAATCTAACTTCGTCATGAAATTAACAGACATAACTTTTAAACTTGAGTGGATTGCATTGCAACAAACTGACTACTCCACCAAGTAGTAGCAGCTAGCTTGATGGTAAAAATTCCAAAGGAAAAGAGAGCTAAAGAGTTTCCAATTGACTAAACTATGTTACTGTCGGCCCCCAACATTCAACTTTAATTTCATCAAGCAAAGAATCCAACTAGAAAAAGTGATTGATATCACCAAAGATCCTGGTGCAGAATAAAGTACTAAATGCCCACATTCTTTAAACACAATTACAGAACTACCGGGTCAAAGCAAGAGAAAAGGAAGAAGAAGAACCAGGATAACAAATCCAGGTAAACCCAGTGATGTCGACCCAGATTAGATTATAAACAAGGCAAGAGAATAATCAAGCGAAATGAATAGAGAAGGAGAGACTGACACGTATGTAGACATTCAGATATGGTAGTGGCATCTCGAAGTAACTTATTGCAGAGAGGACATGTCATGCATGCTGCAATCGTTTCTCTCCTCACTTTCACCACCTGATGCTGATGCTGATGATTCTGATTTCCCATCAGAACTTTCTCAATTTCTTTCTATTCCTTCCTTCACGTCCAAATCCAACTGCTGCATGCTATATACTTTACCAGCTGCAAGAAACAACCGCACAGTACACAAGTTTTAATCGATTCACGTTCATCTGTCTCTCTCTATCTATATCTGCATTAAACCAAAGAATAAGAACGACACATGGAGAAGAGAGCTACCATTAAAACTGCATGAGATTATTCTTGTTACTCTGCTGATCGGTGGAGAGGAGACGTTTCTTTCTGGTTTTGTGATTTAATTCGAGAGAGGATATTAAAAAAGGGTTAGATGTTATAACATTTGGGCTATAATGTTGATTTGTGGCGAATGCTCGTGGGTTTTCGGTGGATGGATTTTGGACTTTTTTTTAAAAAAAAAAAAAGAAAGAAAAGAAAAGAAAGAGAGAGGTTTTTTCCTGTCGAAAATATATACACACGATCTAAATCTTGTCGAAAAAGAGCATGATGAATCATGTATTTATTTATCTTTTGAAGAAAAAATAAAAAGAACATGATGACCCATGTATTTATTTATTTTTTGAAAAAATAAATAAATTTCATTAAGAATGGTAAGAATAATTTTAAAAATATTAAGCTACACAAGTGCAACTAGACAAAGGGTTTTATTTTTTAATTATTATTATTATTTAACAATGGACAACTAGACAGGTTCAACAGCTTGGTTTTGAGGTTTAAGTGAGGATAAAGTGCGCCGGGGGTGCGTAGGCGAGTAAGGTGTGCGCTAGGCTTGAGGGTGGGTTGGGTATCGTGCAAGCGACGGCGAGTATTGCGAGGCTGCTATTGTGTGCTCAAGTATATGTTAGCAGCGCCTGCAAGATGGATCCATATCTATCCTTCAACAGAGCAAAAACTGTTGCCTTCATTTAATTTCTCATCTCTCTTTATTAATGAATAAACAAATAAATAATTATAGTGCGAAAGAAAGAGTCATGGCAATGATGATAATAATAATAATAACAACAACAACAACAATAACAAGAACAACGTTTTCAATTGAAGGGATTATTTAATTTTTCACCAACATGTCGTGCATATTAAGTTTTTCATGATATCTATTTTTATTTTTTAATAAAAAAATTAAATTAGAAAACGATATAAAATAGATAAAAATAACTAAATAATTGTTTTTAAAAACTAAAGGAATTATTTAATTTACTTTGCTAAACTAAAAAAACTAATTTATAGTTTACTCGGTTACCATACTATGGTGGCATGTTGCTGTTTAGAAACTTAATAGGCACGACTTGTTGGTGAAAAAAGTTGCTGGCACTTAATAAAGTGGCATATAGGAAGGGAAAAAAAAATGTTTTTTTCTTTCTTTCTCTTTTTGGATGACGAGTAGATTATGAATTAAGGCTCTGCTCTCTCTTCTTATGATCTTAAATGTCCTAAAAAATATTATTATTATTTATTTTTGAGATAGATTAAAAAGATCTTGAATTGTAATACCATATCAACATTTTTTTCGTAATTTTTTAAAAAACTTTTTTAAAATTGTATTTAGATATTTTTATAAATAGATTTTAACTAGAGACGTTTTTTAAAAAAAACACATAATTTTAAAATTTTCACAGACAAGTATTTTCAGACGTATAAAAAGAAAAGTAGACGAAAGAAGGGAGCAAAGGTTTGGAAATGCATAGGGGTAATTACAAATTAAAAAGAAATTCCACTAGAAATGCGATAAAATAGAAAGAGCACGGCAGAATCTTAACGGAGAAATTTATTCCATTCACACCAGAGCAGTTCGGAAGGGACATGAAATGTCGAAATTTGGCATTGAAAAGTCAAAAAGCAATGTGGAGTGGCTTCTTGAAAAATAGGCAGCGAAAGCATCACATAATTAATTGACTTCAACGTGTAACAGGATTCTGGAGCCCACTGTGATAACTGTTTCACGTCTATATAATGATAAATTTTAGCCTCACTGTTAAATCACCTCATTTAAATTTTAAAACATTAAAAATATGATTAGATAGATTAATTTTAAATAAATCAATTTTCATTAAATGTAACAATTATTTCAATTGATCATTATTTAAAATGTCAAAATGATTCAAATAAGCTAATTTTCGTTATGTGTAACAATCATTTCGATTGATCATTATTTAAAATATTAAAACGATGTCGTTTTGACATTCCGTTGTTAATTATGTTTTTTAAAATATATTTTTAATCTTCTAATCTTAAACTTTTTTTAAACTTTTCTTTCTTATAATAAATATTTTATAAGCTATATAAAAATACACCGTATAAATATTTAACCCCCTTAATTTTGAACTTTTTTGAATTTTTTATAATTTATAAAATTAGAGGGTTGACCATTAATTATGCTCATTTTAATTTATAAATATTTTTAAGACCTGAAATTGTATATTGTTAATTATGTTTTTTACAATAACATTTTATAAAAAAAACGTTTTGTAAAAAAATTCAAAATTAGGAGGTTAAAAATATTTATAAAAAGTTTTTTTTATGTAATATACAAAATATTTATAATATTTTATAATAAAAAAGTTAAAAAAAATCAATATTTAGGAGGTTAAAAATATTTTATTATTTTTTAAAAAAATAATCAACAATACAATACAAAAATGACGTAATTTTAACATTTTAAATAACAATTAATCTAATTAATCATTACACATAATGAAAATTGAATAATTTAAATTATATTTATCCAATCTCTAATATTTTAAAATTTAAATTACGTAATTTGATATTATAATCTCGAAATCAGAAAGTAAAATCTTGGATTAAACTCTTTCAAACCATACCACGTAGTAACCCCTTCTACAACTCTTAATGGGACTTTCAGTCAGGTAGGATTTTGCGGCTTCCAGAGACAAGGAGAATCATTTCCAAACGCAAGAGCAGGCATGCCCGGTCTTCTTGTAATTCAAGAGGCAAGCCACCTTGTTTTAAATTATTATTATTTTTCCCTAGTAGGTGTAAGACTTAGGCAACGTGAGGACTTGGTTTTATCAACTCAATACAAAATGATATTGTTTAGGTGGCTAGCATGTGTTTTTACAAATTTGTTTTTTATCATATGACAGTGCCATTTGTTAAAACCTAACATATGTATCTTCGAGTTTTAGCTTGGAGCATATATACCATAGCTTGAAACCATCGGAATGAAGACAATGCATCAAAATATGTTACCGAATTCTACTTATCTAACAACTGGGGATGCACTGCCTCATTTAAAATCTTCAATGCACCCACTTGTTGAAGAGAAATTAGATGCTAATTACCTCTGATAATGTTATAATAATAAATATAGGAAATTAAGGCCATTCTTTATCGTGGGGACAATTGCAACTGCACCATCCTTATCCAAACTAAAATTTTGAATCACAGTCAAGAAGTTGTTAGCCCAATATAGTAAATGAGTTGTTTTCATATAATTTTTTTTATCAATATATAAAATTCATAATTTAAAATCATATTTATTGAAAAAAGTTAAAAAATTACCATTTTTACTACGAATATAATTATTCGAACGTAATCAATCATATTTTTAATGCCGTACGAGGATAATGGGAAAAAAAAATTGAACCCACTAAAGCAATCATATGAAAAAGTTTGCTATATCGAGTGTGGATTGTGGAGTGCATCAAAACTGGGGACAAAAAAAATGTTAAAATGATATAGCATGCAGGAGCAGTAGCAGTAGTAATTAGTAGACGCGTGCTGCCTTTTCCAAGAGGGTGGCTGGTGAGTGTGACAAGAGGTACAAGAAGGTAATTCATGGACGATGGAACCCTATTGAATCGGTCCCAGTAGTCTGCCACAATACTTGCTATTGTCAAATGTGGCAGGACACGTCATAAATTGAACCTTACCTGCCTATCATGCACAACAATGAATCATGTGTCCTGAATTTAAGGCAATACAGCCAAAATTATGAAACCCACTTTCTTGCCAAATTCCACGACTAAATAGACGAGGTCCCGTGATCCGATGTTTCCTACACATGATGAAATGCTGTGTACAATATTCAACTCATTTGCTATAGCCATCTGAATTCTTAATCAAGTTCTGTCTTTTATCCGTTCCCAAAGCTAACAAAGACTCGAAAATGACTCGAAAATTTCAAATTCTTGTTCTGTTCTCTCTTTCAGACTGGTTTTATATGAATTATTTCAAGACCTATAAGCCTAGGGTACGAAATACTTGATACCAAAAAGGTTGTGGTGCCTGTAAGGATACTGTTGCCTGAAGTTTTAAGATTTTTTTATATCATCCCTTTGTTAAGTTGATTTCTCTTTTCCCTTTCTTTCTTCTCTCGACTTCTAGCCATGCCCAGTTAGGTACACAATCCTGCTCTCCCATGTACGAAGGTCATTCATTCCAAAAATTGCACCCACTTAAGAGTATATAAACTATGAAAACAGACAGACCAATGGTCCCAGAACATAGAAAGAGCTCAGTTGTTGTTGCTGCATGATAAAATCCAACTGATGCTATGCAGATGCAGTTGTTCTAGTTATAATTCATCGGAAGAAGCTAACTCAAAACAGCCAAAAAGAATCAATTAAGAAGCTTTCTAACAATGAAGTATCCTAAAACACTCCTCTATCTGCTGCATTGTATATGTCAGAGACCTTATAATTTATAAGGAAAGTTGTTCTGTTAAAGGAGAATGGTGCATACCAACGTCAATTTGTTCTGTACCATCAATCTTCATAATAAGTTCGTTGCATGAAAGAGGCAGAGGACATGAACTGGGAGCACCAGCGCCACTAACAGGTGAAGATCATAGAGCTGCTAATATGCTACAGATCTGCCATATGATCACAGTCAACCAAAAGCCATCAAAGTTTTTCATCAAAACAAAAACACCATCAAAGTTCCTCCTTATCTAGAGACCAGAATGCTTTCCAACGGTAAACCCACATCCAATGACAGAAAATAGACAAAGAAAATATAACGATTTGGCCTCTAATCAGCATCTAAATTGA